CTTTTGGGGTTAATATGGAAATTAAATCCTTTTAATGCGACCCTCGGATTTTTTTAAGCAACGCCTTTTGTTGTAAATTTGCACCATACTAACAAAAAAAAAAAAAAAAAAAAAAAAAAAAAAAGATTATGCTAGGAAGGTTTTCCTGCACTTAGTGCTGCTAATATGGCGTGCTGCAGTGCTCTTGTACTGGCAGGTATTCCATGGATTGTACTTGGCTCTAGTGTAGGTGTATTCATCTGAACCGCTTTAAGTAAGACAGGACGAGAATAAGAGGCTGTTCATTTTGTCCTGCATGTAACCATTCAATTGGTACTGCTCAGTGGCCTCTTGCAGATACCACGCTCTGCAGGTGCTGCTCTGTCTAATGCTCTGCCTACTACTCTCGTCCTGTCACTGCCCAGCCACTGCTCTATCGGTGGCTCTTTGTTGTATCCTTCCGCTCCTCTTCCATACAATCTCCGCACAACTCCTCTTCAAGATGGTACTTTTCTTCAAGATACTGCTCTCCTCCGCAACGTTACTCCTCCCTGCTACTACAGCTACTCTACACTCCCAAACTTACCTCTTTCCGTCTATTTTCTATATCTCTATTGCTCCTTGATCGCTGTTCCCCTGATATGCTTCTCCCTCTCAGATTTGAATGGAACAGATCCAGGTCTCGAATGCTTTCTTTGGTTATCCTCTCTCTTCTTTAATGCATCGGTTTCCACTCTCTTGATCTCTCCTGCCTTCTTAACTACAATAGGAACATGTCTGTGCTTACTGATTCTTCTGATTTCCGGCATGTGCTTGAATCTTTCCTTCAATGCTGCGTCATACTCTAATTTGTTTCTCTGTCTGGTAGACTTAATACTCGATCTCTCAGATGCATTTGTTCTCCAGATTCTGATGTTAGAGTCGTCTGAACCACTCAAAATGTACTTCGAATCGGTAGAAAACTTGACACAGAAAATGTGTTGCATTCTCTTTGTATGATAAATGTCTCTGCTGTGTCCCTCCCTGGTCTTGTAGATTCTGATGGTCTTATCGTATGAACCTGTAACTAACTCTTCTCCCGTTGGAGAGAAATCCACATCCATCACCGCAGCAACATGGTCCTTATAAACATTCAACGACCTGTCCAATCTTCTCATGTCCCATAAATAAGCATTATGATCTTCACATCCTGATGCAAAATTAAAGGCTTCCATTGGATTCCATGCAATTGAGTTTGTTCTCAAGCTAGTCACAACCTTTTGGATGGGGCTGTTTGTCCTTACATCATACAACACTATGGAGTTGTCGGACCCTGCTGATGCTATTATGTTTGTCTGTGTTCTATTGAATTTCACTGTGTTGATGTTATCTGCCCCCCATGACAAGTTGGAAATGTACTTGGACCTGTTGATGTCCCAAAGTTGAATGCTGGCCCCTCCTGTACAGAAAAGCTCCTCGTCCTGATGATGATCTATGCCCTTGAACGAATGTTCTCCCAAAAAGGTCTTGAGAAGACCTCCCTTACCGTCTCTTCCATGGTACAACTCTTGATCTGACTGTGATCCGTCAAACTCGTCGGTGTTGACAGACCACAACTTAACAGTCTTGTCGTCACCACACGAGAGCATACTACTGCTGTTGGGACTAACACACAACCCGCTGACCATCCCATAGTGCGCTTTGAACGAAACAGCTTCGCTACGCAGCGTCATGTCCCAGTACTTGATCACCCCATCGGCTGAACCAGTAGCAACCTGGTTGGTGGTGGAGAAATTCTTAGCTATTTGGTACACACCATCTCTATGACCGTTACCAAGTTGTCCTATGAACGGTTGGGCAAACATCTTCTCCATTTTGGTGGCGGTAAGTGCCTTGGTGTATTCTCTGGCTCTTTCAAATGGATGCAATGCAGGGTTGAGGTTTCTTGGAAGCGATGATTCCTGTGTGTTCCTTACTGGAACGTACGTATCGGACGATCTACTGACTGTTTTGATCTTCATACCGCCTTGATTTACTTGTTATGCTGCTGTTTAATACAAGAAAACGTCTAGTGCCTGTCCTATTCTACACAAATCCAATTTGCATTCCCATCCACTGCGTTTGAGATGAGCTGCTCGCATTTTTTTATTTTTTTTCGGTGCATTTAATTTTTTCATTTTCTGGTGCTAGTGAAAAAATCCGCTTTAGTATGGCGCATGCGGTGGGTGCAACAACAGTTCAGAGGGAGCGAGTGTGTTGGAACGGTTAAGCTGTGCTGTACCTTTCCGCTGTCGTTATGATACTGCTGAATACATCGAATGCTGCTACAACACCGTAAAACACCGTTACACGTGTTATTACACCTTCATGCTAATAAATATTAAATTATTTTTGAGTTACACAGGTTCTATAAAAGCCATTTCTAACTATCTGCATATAAGTATTGTTATGTAATATTAATATTTTACTTTTATTATCATCGTTGTATTAGTTGTATTATTTCTTATTAGTATTAATTGTAGTATTATTATAGTTGTAGCTGTTTTGGTTTTGTTGCAGCTGCTGCTGTTGCTGTTGCTGTTGCTGTTGCTGTTGCTGTTGCTATGATGGTGTTGCACCTTTTTTTTTTCGATTCTTTTATAGTTTTTTTATACAGCGTATACCTCTCTTCTTAACTCCTGCAATTTCAATTGGTTCCACTTGTTTTGGTGTATTATGTTTCAAACCCTCTTCACTTTGTTTATCTTGTTATAAAAGGGGAAATTCATAAGTCCAGCTTATGTCTATTTGCTAATCTTCTCTCACTCTAGTATTCTTCCATGGAGTGCTTCTTGTGTTGATTAATCTTGGTCATCTAGCTACTATTAATTTGGTTCAAATAACAGTCCAGGCGTTAAGAGACCACAGAAGTTCACCACACCCATCTTTTACTACTAAAATAATATTTATCTCTTGTTTTCACGAGTTTCGCTGGTCTGAATAATCCTACAAGGATATGTCCAACACCAAGCCAACATCATCAACATTGTTCTTCAGTATATCTTCTAAAAATGGTAACAAATCTAATAATTCGTTATCGTGAGTATCACTGAACCAACTTGAAATTGGAATTGAATGCTGTGGGTGGAATATATATGAGGCTGGAGAATTGTCGATGATTATGGAATCTGCCAAGGGTCTTCCAATTTGTGATAAGTTCTTAATGAAGTTACCCTGGTAATTGTAACACGAATCTCTAAATAGCCTATGGTGGACAGAATGATGGATGTCCAATTTGTCTAATAATGGATCTCCATACTTCAGTACTGACGCAGTGAAAACTACCACTTCAAACCATTTTCCAACTTTCTCCAAGAATTCGTCAACACCTGGTCTTTTTATCACATAGACATGATGTACCTGGTTATCGATTTGAACAGGAATTACAAAATCTGCAACTCTTAAATACTTAAACGATGAGTGAACCAAAGTTTCGTCAAGATCTAAGATAAGGCACTTCTTCCTACCAAATCTCTTGGTGTCTTTAAATCCCAAAAGGGCACCTGATTCTGGGTTGAATGATTGTCCCTCTTGCAATTTGGTCAATTCTATGACAGAATCGTCGTCTTCATCAAACCTGTCTTCTTCTCCTCCTCTTGTAGGGGCAGATGCGGTGGAGTTTCCATGCTCGTCGACTTGAGTGAGAATGTCTGCAGAAGTAGCTCCTCCACCACCGTTCGAAGTTGCATTGGAAGCCCCGTCGGAGTTATGTTGTTGTGATGGTTCGGTCGATGAAGGATCTTCGTTGGTGTTAGTTATAGTATCGGTCTCATTAACGGAGTTTTCATCGTCCAACATCTCCTTCTTATCCTTCAGCGCAGTCTTAGATGCCGTACTAGAATTCTTGCCAGACTCGGAGGGAGTGGCGGCACCCTTGGCTGCAGCCTTTGGTTTTGAGTTGGTGGACTGTACTGGAGCAGAGCTCTTTTGGTGTGCTCTTGTTCTTGGGTTACTCTTGTTACTTTCCGTTGCGCTCAAGTTTGTTTTCAGACGGTTTGTTGTTTGTTTGGAAATCAGTTGCTGTTGAGCGTATCTATCGTTTCTATCATCTTTCGAGTCGACCGAGCAACAAAACAATGCAGCAATTCCTCCCATTGTTCCTCTTTAAGTGACTGGCTTGGGTGTCGTTTATGGAATAATCCGTCTTGTTGGACAAGAAAATTGTGTAAAAAAAAAAAAAGTTAACCACAAACGAAAAACCGAACTCAATGAATTCCGATGAACTTGAATGAGATGTAAAGCTAACGGTATAACGAGGAGGAATGGGTCTTTTGGGCGAAAGGAAGCGAAGTGTAGTAGTACGGAAGAAAAGACTTATCAACTCACACTAGGCTTACTTCTTCTTGAATTTCCAATTGATTGCTTCAACTAGGACTAGAGGCTGCTCTATTTCAGTTTTGAATCTTTCACTAAGGACACTGTTAGTTGAGAATGCAGGTACTGGCCTTATATGAGTGTACGTGTACGTGTACTTGTACGTGTGTATGTTTCTATCTGTTTCTATATCTATGCCTGTATATACGTATATACTTATTCTACTAAATATAGACGTATATATACACAACTACTCTGGTATGCTTATAGACTTCAGGTAAAAGAAATGTATCCAGACGCTCAGTTTAGCTTGTTTCTTGTTTTTCGTGGACTCTCTATTTTTTTTTACCTGAGCTTTTTATTTTTCGCACTGTACCGGTAAATTGACTGGCTTGCCTTGTGTCGGTAGAATGGTAGCACGGCTCACGAGTTCAGTAGCGCCAGCTCAAGTATGAAAATAGGGAAAAAAATAAAAAGAAAGGAAATTTCAGTAGTGTAGGAAGTAAAAAAATACCGAAAAAAAAAAAAACGGAAATGAAAACAGTGGGAAAGAGGAAATTCGGTACGAAAACGACGGGCGGAATGAGATTCTGGTAAAGTTAATATTTGCTGGTTGGGCAGGCCGATGAGGTTTGAGTCAGAGTGCAGAGTGCAGAGATATACGAGCTGATGCCAAAATGTTTCACACTAAGGTAGAGTGCACAGTGCAGGGATAGCTGCACTAGTTCGTAAGAGTAATTTTTATACAGACTGTGGGATATATGTAAGGTAATCTACATTTGACACTAGCTTCCTATTCGTTGCTTGGGTTGCTTTCATCCGCTTCTGCATTCATGCAATTCTGGGTAATTTCTTTTTTTTTTTTCATCTATCCTTCTATCCTTCCATTTTTTGTAGAGCATTGTAAGGGTGTGGATATTTTTTAAGTAGGGTTTCCACTACCCATTGTAGACCTTCTTCAACTGAATTTCTCCTATTTCAATTGGATATGAACAGGAAATTTTTCAGTTCCAAAAGGGTAAAAAAAAATTCCTAGAGGGGTAAGAGTTGGAATTGGAATTGCGAACTGGATACTATTGTTTTGACATGTCAATAGGCTCGTAAGGGCAATAAGGGCAATCTCGTGGCACTGAGAATTTAAGCTATAAGGTAAGACAAAAGTATGTTAGCGATGGTTTGGTGTAAGGGCCAGGCGCATTTTGATTACGAAAGGAAGAAGAACTTGGTATCAACATGGTTCATTATTAATTGATATATGTCACTTTTCTTCTATCTCCTTATCGATAGGTCAGGCTTGGTCGGTTTTTTTTTCTTTCTTTTTTAGGCTCTTTGCTTATCGGCCTCTCAGCTTTTGTCCTACCAAGTTTTCTTGTACTTCCACTGAACCCTATCTAGAAATATGTCAACCTTATCTGTGCTAACGTGCACTACTGCAGAATGCAGTTTCGAAACCCCATTCCCTTTCTTCTCACTGTATCTCTCCATCTCTCTATCTCCTTCTCTTTCTATCTCTGACGCTCTCATCGCTGATAATAGCTTCCCGCACGTGACCAAATATGCCTGCATGATTTCTATACGTCTTTTGAATGGCACAGAGGTTCCAGCTAGCACACTCTTTGTCTCTATGGATCTGTGATACTATGGATATTTCTTCTCTTTTAGATACTTTACAGCGGTGTCCTGAAGAAATAATTCTATCTATATTCGATTTTTTACCATCATCTTACATATCCCAATTCTTTCTACACTACAATGCATTTTTCAGACAATTAGTAATCCAGAACTACTACTCCAATGAACTACATGTAGTATTATCGCCTACAAGGCGACCCCACCATTGCATTGATAATGATATACAGAGAAAGGAGCTTGTAGATTTCAATAGCTATGTAGAAATTGACGATTTCCTCACGGAAAACCCTGATATCAATCCTCAAAGGTTGATAATAATCACTGGTGGAGATTTTAGATCATTAGAAACGTTATTGTTGAAATATAGAGATCGATTCACCAACAAAATACTGGAACTACAATTCCAAATTGAAAAATACGAGCCGACAATTAGCGATTTGCAATTAATAAGTGAATTCCGTGGTAACTTGACTAAATTACAGTTTACTCAGCTAGAGTTCCTGGCATTAAAAAAATCTCCAACATTTCTCTACAACTTACAAAACTTAAACCAATTCGTATTATTGGGTCATAAAATATACAATTGGTCTAAATTGAAAACCGTATTGCCTCCGAATTTGCAGCAATTGGATATTTCTTGGAATGATGAGTCCAATATGTCACTGCAGTTGCAATTGCCCGAGAGCGTGACTGACTTATACTGGAACCAAGCTGGTGTTGATGATCGTATATTGAACACCAAACGGTTCCCGCTGCATTTAAAGACCTTGATGTTAACGTATAATAGTATATCCACCATAGATCTTGGATCGTTGCCTCAAACATTGGAAACGATCGACTTACTGTACAACTGTATAAATACATTCGTAGAGGGAAGCGATTGGCCTCCCTTACTCAGATCTATTTTGTTATCACATAATCTTATTAATGATGATACACTTGAATTACTACAAAGTTGCCAATGGCCAACTAATTTGAAGAATTTGAGACTTGATAACAACCCGTTTACCACTTTGAAAGATTTAACAAATTTGCCTAATTCCATTGAGTACCTAGACCTATCGCAAACAAGATTGACTAGTTTGAATGTTTTACTGGACAGAGAGAGGCGGACAGAGAACCAGAATCACGTAGAATACTCATATTTTAAATTCCCCGTGTATTTGGAAACATTGAATCTAAGTAATAGTGAATCTCTACAATTCGATGAAAAGGATAGAATACAGTTCCCCAAGCGGCTATTAAACTTGAATCTAGATGAATGCAAAATTGAGAGATTAGATTGTTTCAGTTTCCCAGATTCGTTATCCAAATTGTCGCTTTGTGGAAACAACATTCAGAATTTGAATTCATACGAAGACGTTTCGTCCGGCTCGGGTACAAACTCTTGGACTTGGTCCAAATTGGTCAATTTATCACATTTGGAACTTTACTTGAATAAGATTCAAACGCTAGAGAATTGGTTTCCACCTTTACAATTGAAATATGTCGATTTAGGTAAAAATCAACTAGATTCACTATCCATGGAAAACACGCCAATTTTTCAATTTCAACATTGTCAACACTTGAAGTTGCAGAATTTAAGATTAGAGATTAATAATATCTCAAGACTTGATGATCGCATCGTCCTACCGCCGTACTTGCGGAATTTGCTGTTGAAGGACAATTCTCTACTGGGGGAAATCAATATACCTGCATCGTTTGTGAATGGTTGTCAATTGGAAAATTTGGACTTGAGTGACAACTCCATTGAGAAGTTGTCATTCTCCCCGACCACGACTGTCCAAGGAGAAGTGAATTGTAACTTGAGATCGCTAAATCTAACGAGGAACTTGATCTTGAAACAGGGCAAGAACAATGAAACACTCAAGATGTTTTATGATGATATCGAGAACGGTTTGGGTTTGAAGGTGAGTAAGAGGAAAGCGAATGTGAATAGTTTGCACGAATTTTCAGTTGCGGCATAGAGCATAGAGAATAATAGAGCAGACTAGAGTACAGATAGAGAGACTGGCGGATTGGCGTGCATAAATTAGCATAAATAAATCAGAAGCATATGTTAAGCACCCTGGATAAAGGTAGCACGGCTAAAGTAGATTACGGTAGGCTAGAGTAGACTGGACTCGACCAGAATAGAGTAGGCTAGAATACAATAGATACAATAGAGTAGAGTGGATTATTGCACCCGAAAGCATACGTAATAAAGTCAGTTAATTAACTTGAAAAAAATTCAACTAAGTAAATTCAATTAAGGACATGAGTGGGCATAATGATACGTAATAGCTTTTCCCCTTTGAGAAAAACTCTAATAAAGCTACTTTGTTAGCATTTCTCTGACTCAAAAATCCATTGTTGCGCCGTAGCTGCTCAATTGATCTTTCCGTTGATGCTCTACAACAATAGTAGTCAACCACTAGCCTAACAATAGTGCAGTTCGAACTGGGCAAAATCAAGAGCTGAAGTTGAGCCATGCTTACACAAAGTCGCGCTCTCACGCGCTTCAACTTTTTTTTCTTTCTTTTTTTTTTTTTTTTTTTTTGTAAATAAATCGAAACTTTGCAACTTCAATATTAGCCAGCCACCGCCCATCAGACAGATCAGAATTGTATTTAAGTATACATATTCTTTAAATACCGATCTAGGAAGTGGCGATCAACACCGGTAGATCAGACTCTTTGAATAGAAGATAAAAAAACGGGAAATTTGCACTCGTCGAACAGGAATTGACTTCTGCACACTATGTCCAATCCTCCTTCCACACCTCCACGGTTGAGAAACTCATCCCAAGCGGTATTTCACACCACTTTTCGAACTCCCAAGACACCGAAGAGCTCCGGATCGAAAGGAAAGGAAATTCCCTTTGTTACTCCGTCTTCATCCACTAAAAAACCGAAGGGCTTGTTTGTGACCCCGAGGAAGCACCAACAACACCAGCAGCACCAGCAACACCAACTGCACCAACTGCAACTGCTGCTGAGCAACTTCTTACAGTTACCATCTTCATCCAACCATGGTTTTGCTTCCCTCATGCCCATAACTCCTGAAGTGACCCCATTGAGATCTCCCAACAGATCCACTCGCAAGAAACGTATACATGTCGACGAGATCACCCCGGACAATCCAGTGCAAAAGCTTTCCAGGGCTAGCGAAAGCATTTCAGATTTCTCATTCGGGCTCCTCTTACCTGCTCCTTCAACCATTGGTATGGGCAGAAAGATACCTAGTCCAACAATTAAATCTGCTCCATTAAACTCATCACCAACTTTGGATTCTGATTTCTTCGCAAACATTGCACACGAGGAGGACGTTGAGGACTACCCGTCGCCTTCTTCTTCGCCTTTCCTCCTCAAGAACAATAACTTGAGCTTCATGCCCCCAATCGATTATGAACATATACAGTCATCTCCCACGAAGGCTGCTCCTCCTCCTTTGGCACTTCCCGCAACAGCTCCGGGACCCGTTCGTGGTACATCCATTTCAAAATCAAAGTTTAATACCCCTAAATTACCCCAATCCCATATACTAACCACTCCAAAATTGATGCAAACCCCTAAAATGCCTCAAACGCCAGTGGGTCAGTTGATTGACGAAGATATAGTGTACAAATGGCACGGTAAGTCGTTCAATTCCGATTATTCTACAGACGATGAAGCCCATTACAGAGACAATATTGAGACTGAAGACGTTGAAAATCCTTTTGTCTCACCAAGCACTCATCAGCTACCACAGTTCAAGCCTCCGTTTACACCCAAGTCTAAGAGCCAATCCAATGTCGACTACTCGACTCACATGGAATTAGTAAACAACAGAACTGGAGAAAGAAGTATTGTTGCATTACTGCATGAACAAGCCAGCATAAAGCCAAAGAGATTAGACTTCAGCTCGTTCAAGTGAATATCTAGTGTAAGCTGAATCCAGTAGCACTAAACAAAATAAAGTAACACTGTTGTCTGGCACAAACAAAGAACGAACCACAAGTAAATTTAAAGCGATAAAGGGAATGAAATTATTTATAGAATAAATACTATGAAGAACCAAAAGTATAAAGCATTCAGTGCGTCTGTAGTCATCCAGTAGCTAATGGGTTAGAAGCAATTGGGAAGTATTGACCGGCGGGAGGTTCAAGTCAGTGATCCGTAGTCACACCAATGCAGCATGCTTCACCAGTCGTGAGCACGTGATTTGTCACGTGATTTGTCTCTGCTCTTATTTTTCATCACTGGCTGCCATAAAAAAATCAATGAAGTCAAGACGGCAACACCTTCTTTCACCCTTCATCAGTGCAGCTATGTCGGTTATTCCTGGTTTCTCGACTGGTGTTTCGACAGATTCAGATATCGTCGTTGATAGCGGATCTAAAAAATTCACAGAGTTACACATTCCTTCACAATCAGAATGGCGAGTAGAAATTCCGTTTCAAACCGTTCTTAAATTGAATGTGGTGAGTGGGATTGCAGAAATATACGGAACAGAGCTTCCAAATAATGTAGAGATGACGTTTTCTGGTGCTAAGATAAGCATATATGCCCCTCAGACAGAATCGAATACTGGATGCACCATTAAGTACACTACTGGCATTAAGAAATCAAACCAAAGTGGAATGAGCAGTGGCTCCAATGGATCAGAGAATGAAATCACTGAATACATCAGTGAGGAAGAATCTTCAATGGTACAGAATATAAATTTACATTTTGTGCTTGAATCAATTCGCCAGCAGACCAACGAGGGCCCTAGAGTGATGGTAATTGGTAACTCACAGTCTGGTAAGACATCGCTACTCAAAACATTGGCTGCGTACGCCCTCAAGATGGACAGAAGTCCGATCCTAGTCAACTTGAACCCTCAAGAAGGAGTATATTCGTTGCCCGGGTCACTTACCGCTACTCCTATCAGTGATATGTTTGAAGTAGAGTCCACCAACGGATGGGGTAATACCACAACTTCGGGTGTTACATTCCACAATCCCAAGCAGCCCATAGTGAAGAACTATGGATTCGAAAAGTTCAATGAAAATATGGATCTTTACAAGTATCAGGTTTCAAAGTTGGGGGTTGCGGTGATGTCGAGATTAGAAGAGGATGCTGAAGTAAGACAGAGTGGTGTTTTAGTTGACACTCCGGCGTTGACTATAAAGGATTTCACCATCATTGAGAATATAGTCTCTGATTTTGAAATTAACATGATTGTGGTTATTGGGAATGAGAGATTGGTGATTGAATTGAGGAAAAAGTTTAGACATAAGGTCAACAATCCATTGAATATAGTTAAATTGACTAAAAGTGGGGGTGTGGTGGAAGTAGATGAAGCATTCGTGAGAAACTTGCAACAACAAACCATTAGAGAATACTTTTACGGAACGTTGAAGAGTCCACTTTCTCCGTACAATACCAATATTGACTTCAAGGATTTAGTTATATATAAGACGGTTGAATCCCTGGAATTTAACCCTTCGTTGGCATTTTTGCCTTCTGGGGACGATTTCACACCTGAAGTAGATGACCTGGATATGATGGACGAGGGAAATGGCAACAGGAAGAGCAATGAATTTTCTTTGGACAAGTACTACCTGAAAGTAGAGGAACCTGATGCTTCCTTGTTGAGCAATACTATATTGGCGATTACACAGCTACCCGCCAACGACAAGCTGGCTAAGAACTTGATGAACACTAGTGTAATGGGGTACGCATACGTTTCTGATGTGGACGATGCAAAGAAGAAAATGAGAATATTATTGCCTGTTCCTGGTACATTACCTAGGAATATATTAATTGTCACCGGAATTAGATATATAGAGTAGGTGAGAAGGCATATAGACATGGAAATAAAAAGGTACGTGAATTCATAAATAAAGTGTAATAAGGTGTATATACTGTAGACCTAGAAGATCTAGGATGACTTGTCAGTGCCAGTTGGTTCGTTAGGAGTATATCCTGTGTTTCATTACGATTTCTAAACGTAGAAGAAGTTCACTATTGCTTGGTCGTACGAGTTTGCTGATCGCCTTTCAATGCAGAAGCACTCCACTAATGCCTAATCAAACGGGATTGGTTTCTTAAGCTTATTCATTTCGGACGCAGCAATGGCACTGGGGACCTTGATCCCGCAACAGTCTCCCCATGTGTTTACAGCTTCGTGAATGTGACCGCAATCACTATCAGCATCATCATGTGAGTGCTCTGCAACACCCTCTGGGCAAACGATTAAGCTACCAAACATCAAATGTTGAATAATTGGCAACTTGCTCAAAACCTCTGCCTTGTACATTTTGATCATTCCTTCCTTGATTTTAGCCCAAGATTTAGCAGCCAGAATATCGTCAAGCATAGGCGAATGCCATCTTAAGCTTAACTTACCGGCACCAGCTTCAGGATTTTCACCTTGGGGTGTAGTCTTGATAGAGTTAATAAAGTGGATACACTCCAAGTACATGTACTGTTTATAAAACTGCTCTACCAATTCTTCGTTGTGGATCAGTTTAGGTCTCATATGAGGATGTGTGGCAAGCTGAGATGCACCAAATAAAAATGGCAAGAAGTGGTAATCATCTAATCCCCAAACACCATGGGATCCAGCAGGTTCAAGCCAGTACACCTTTTGAAGCTGTCTCATGATTTTCATGTATTTGTTGAACACTTGGAGGATTATGCACGGAAAGTCTTCATCTTGGAAGTACTTCAATTTACTAAGGCAAAGCAAGAACACAATAAAGTTGAGCTCATGGCCAGAGCCGTAATCAATTCTAGTTCTGTTACCAAATGAGTTTTTAAAGTACTCAGAGATTTCGCTAGCTTCCTCTTCGTTTCCATACTTGGCCACCACTAAAGTCTTGATCTCAGCTGGTAATAGCTCACCGAGTTCGTCATAGAAATCCCTGAACTCAATCTTCCCAAATCTTGAGATTTCCTTTTCATGTACTACTGGGTTGTTATCTATTGCCCGTTGAACAACATTATCAAGCAAGTTCAAAACGATTTGACTATTTTCTGATACTTGCACTGGTGAGTCGTTTGGCTTGCCTTGCACCAGATCTTGCAACTTGGTTATAAATGTGATAATTTGATTGTAGGCTGGCGACTCAATCCACTGAGTCAAATCCTCCGGGGATACAATTCTACGAGCAAGAGTCATCTGATATTAAATATTAAAGCAGCAATTATGGTAAAACAGCCCTAGATTATGGTGTTCGTTGCAAAAGAAGCTGGTGAGCAGATACCGATTGGTGATCGCAACATTTTTCAAATCATCATATGGAGGAACCAGAAAAGTCAAATATCGTGTGAAAAAAAAGTTTCAAAGTGAATGAACTACTACCACCTTTCTTCTGTCAGCTGCGTAATGAAGTTGTATACCGTACCTTCAACTAGGGCTGCGTTGAAAGTAGAACTTAGAAACAATGCGCGACTTGGTCCGCTTTGGTACAGAGTGAACGACTCTTCTGTAAACGCATCATCTACGTTACCTCAAGAAATCCAATCGAAAGAACAAATCAATGAGCGAGTTGCAATTGAGTCCCACGCCCAAGGCTTGAGCTTAAAGTGGAAACAAACCTATGCATATGCCAAGGCGCTCATGCATTTCTATAGACATGGGGTGTCCAGTGTTTGGAACAACTACTTCAAAGAATATAGAGCATTAAAGAAGAACTTCAAGCTAACAAACATTGATAATCTGGGGGTGCAGCAAAGTATCAAAATTCCATCCTTCACGAAGTTAACTCAAGAGATGGCACAGCAGTTGTATATCTTGGAAATGGAACGCAATACACAGAAACAAATCCAAAAGGATGATGCAAATATGATCAAACGAGTGAAATCACCATCTGAAGCAGCTCACGCTGGAGTATCTGAGTTTCAATTGAACCGCCACCAGTATCAAATCTTGCATCGTACACCCAAGGACTTTGTCAAGATTCCTAGTTTCGCAGTGATATTCATGATATTTGTGGAAACTACACCATTGCTTTGTTATTTGCTTCCTGAAATCACCCCGCTGACGTGTGTTTTGCCAAATATATTGCCCAGGCTATGGAGCCCAAAAGCTTCAATCCAGCTTCGTGATATGAGAACAAAGGACTCTGCAGACTTGAAGTCAACAGAGGATGCTGCGCGTCAAACTGCGTTTAACTTGCCGCTTGCTGAAGTCAAATTGTTGGTTAGTACTTTAAGACTTAAGTCGAAGTACGTCCCTGCGTTCATGTTCCCGGAAACAGTGTTACGCCGTCGTTTGCAGAATCATTACAACTATTTGAAGGTGGATGACAGCTTTTTGTCGAAAAATGGTAACATTTGGAACTTGACGGAGCAAGAATTACTATTGTGCTGCTTGGAACGTAATATAGTGCTTGATATCAAGCAAGACTCGAAGCTATTTGGGAATGGTGAGCAGTATTTTGATGAGCTCCGTTTGAAGTTGTTGAGGTGGTTGGCAGATTTCCCAGATTACAATGTTGGCTATATCGGCTTAAATCATGTTTTGGGAGAGGAATCGGTAAACGATACCAAACTTATTATGAACTTATGGAGAGAAGACAATAAGACCTAATGGCTGCAAAATTTTATGTGAACATTTAGTAATAAGAAGCTAACACCTTAAGAGAAAGATGACGAAAAGGGCCCAGCACTAACTGATATTTCAAACTTACAGCTATGAAATCTTCAATCACATTCCATTGACTACACATGCATGGGCTCTACTTGCCTCTCTCCGTCTACACATCATGTCTATTCGCCACATGTTCCTCTGTACTTACCCTTGCCCTTTATGCAACACACTTGATGGTCCTGTATATAAACTTGTGTCCTGTATATAACCATAGCTTTGCAAGTTTATTTTTCGTTTTTTGTAATTTTCTTTGTCTCCAAATGAACGTACCCTTACTTGTAATACAACAACATCAGTGTATTCAACATGTCCGTTGATGGTGATGTTATCGCGGGCGATAAAAAGACAGAAGATGCTAAGGCTGACGAAATAACGGAGACGAAGGCACCATCGCCGGGGAAATCAACCCCCATCCAAATCACTAACGGTACTGGAGGTGATTCCAATGGGAGCCTGGATACCAAATTCTCAATAGATGATATACTTATAGGTTGTAAAGTGTATGTCTCCAAAGATGGAGAGTTCAGGATTGCAGAGATCCTTCAAGAACACACTAAGAAGGGAAAGAAGGTGTTCTATGTGCATTACCAAGAGTTCAATAAGCGTTTAGATGAGTGGGTCGGGACTGATAGGATAGACTATCTGCGAGCGATGATTATGCCCGAGGTCAAAGTGGACAAAAAGGATGAGAAGAAAACCACCAAGCTGCTGAAGCTGCTGAAAAAGACGTCCAAAAATTCCAAAGACTCCACAGAGACGCCTGCCCCAGATACTCCCACGCCCGCACCAGACGGTTCTTCGGACAAGAGGGACGATGAGTTGGACCTTGATAACTTGAATGTCCAGGGGCTCAAGAGGCCAGGTGAGTTGGTTAGCAGGGAAGATGAAATAAAGAAGTTGAGAACCGGTGGTTCAATGACTCAAAACCATCTGGAGGTAGCCAGAGTGAGGAACTTGTCTGCCATTATACTTGGTGAACATATAATTGAACCTTGGTACTTCTCACCCTACCCAATAGAGCTCACTGAAGAAGATGAAATATACATTTGCGACTTTACCTTGTCTTATTTTGGATCCAAAAGGCAGTTTGAGAGGTTTAGATCTAAGTGCTCCATGAAGCACCCTCCAGGGAACGAAATATATCGTGATCCCAAGGTGAGTTTCTGGGAAATAGACGGTAGGAAGCAAAGAACTTGGTGTCGTAATTTGTGCTTATTGTCTAAATTGTTCTTAGATCATAAGACTTTATACTATGATGTGGATCCGTTTTTATTCTATGTCATGACAATCCCCTCGAAATTGGGTCACCATGTTGTCGGTTACTTCTCGAAGGAAAAGGAAAGCGCAGATGGTTATAACGTCGCATGTATTTTGACGTTGCCGTGCTACCAAAAGAAAGGTTACGGGAAACTATTAATGCAGTTCCTGTACATGTTGTCGTATGTAGAAGGAAAGGTCGGTTCTCCAGAAAAGCCATTATCTGATTTGGGATTGTTATCATACCGTGCCTACTGGACTGATACCTTAATTAAATTGTTGGTTGAGAGAAACAACCCACATTTATTCAGGAAGAATAATCCCTTGTTGGAGGATTTGGACAATAGTAACGGAACAAAGAAGGAATCCACATCCAGTCCACAACCTTCTAGTAATGGCTCCTTAAATGGTAGCAGCAATGGAGGAAGTCTATTTGGAAACGGATCTGGAGGAAATGGTGCAGTTTCAAGTGGAGGCAACAATACTACAGCAGCTCCTGTCCCTGTCCCCGTTTCAAGTGAAATTACAATTGAAGAAATATCGGCAATCACTTGTATGACTACCACTGATATTCTTCACACTTTGACTACTTTACAGATCTTACGTTACTACAAGGGTCAGCACATTATAGTGGTCACCGATCAAATAATGATGATGTATGATAAATTAATTAAAAAGGTTAAAGAAAAGAAAAAGCACGAGTTGGAGCCCAGAAGATTAAACTGGAGTCCACCTTCTTTCACTGCCAATCAATTACGTTTTGGATGGTAATATTAACGAAATACATATCAGGATATATATGTATGTATAGTTACAATTATATAATGTACATAATGACACAAATCAGTTAACCAATTCATTTTACTCTTCAGCCCACACCTTTATACTCTTGTCCCCCTCGCATGTAATGAATCTTGATCCCAGACGGTCAAATTTAGATGCGTATATGGTAGTTTTGTCTGCAGAGCCTGGAACAGGTTTAGAGTAAGTTCTCTGTAACAAGTCGCCGGTTACATAGTCATAGAATTCCATCTTTCCATCATCATACCCTGCGAATAAGGAGTTTGTAACAGGGTTAATGGATAATGTGTTTACAATCTTGCTGTCATCCAGTTCGGTGTTGAATTCATTCAATAAGTCTCCTCTGGGCAACACCCACTGTTTGAAATTTCCTCCCGTATCAGCTGAACACATGGTAGCTTCGTGGGGATGTGTTAACATCAGCCGAATGCTCTTAGAATGGTGGGTCAATGTTAACTGGGTGGCAGCCTTACGGAGATCCCACAATCTGATTGTCGCGTCCATCGAGCTGGAAACTATTTGAGGGTCGCTTGATGCACACTGTATACTGGTCACATCGCTCCTATGGCCAGCCAATACCATCACCTGCGCTCTAGATCGAATATCCCAAACTCTTATGGCAGAGTCTCGCCCTGCCGTGACAAGTAGGTCTAGGTCAGGATGTAAATCCATGGCATATATCCCTCCTACATGGCCATGATAGTCTCTTATTTGAGAACCAGCCGCAGAATTTGTTCTCTCCAAGTCCCAGCATCGTACAGTCTTGTCTTCGGATCCAGAGAAGAGATACGGGAACCTCGACGATACCTTTAAGGACCTCACTCCCATGATGTGGCCAGTTATTGTTGCTTTGATCTGCAGCGTAGCGAGATCCCATACCTTTATAGTGGCGTCAGAACCACCTGTAACGAACCATTTATTGGTGATAGGATCAATGTCTATGCATCGCACCCATCCTTGATGGGCATCTGCGATTACCCTACGAAGTTTCCATTCAGCACTGCTGTTACCCCTCGAGACAGGGTTTATTGTAGCCCCTGTTCCCTCTTCCTTCTTTCTTACTACCATGTCAGTGATTTGTGTCTTGTCTTTGGCGTCATTATACTCGGGGACGCCCGGTTCCAGCATACCCTCATCGAAGTTGAAGTTGTTCAGCTTTCCAGCATCGCTTCCCTCACCAGCCTCTGCCCTGATCACACTAATTTGGCTCTGTCTGTAGATAGTATCGCTTTTCTCATCCACTGGTGGTATTATACCGGTATCATCTAGATCAAATATATCTTTATAAGATATCATCCTCCTATATAACCGTTTATTGACAAAAAGAACCACAACATCGTAGTTGAACGTTACTCTCTACAAAAATCTGCACCGAGAAAAAAATTGAAAAATCCAAAATCGTAACTTCTTATCTTAACACAGCATATACTTGATAGAAACGGTCTCAATGTACAATGAAAGCTTATCGTACCGTCTTTCTCAGCTAGTGTTAAGCTCTGGTGAGTGTACAATACAGTTAATTCCAGAGTCAGAGTTGCCTATCGTCTCTGAAGTGCATGATGAGATAACAGAAATCGGGCTATCTAAGAGAACATACCTACAGCTATTTAAAGAGTCGCACACATATTGGCATTCAGCTCTACAAAGTGCACCGAGTGGGAAGCAAGATCCCGCTGATCTATTGGAAGCTTACTATTGCACCTTCGGGTATCTCTTAACTACAAATGAAAACCACTCGTTAATCAAGTTGCACGAAAGTATCTTCTTCAAATTGCAGCACATAGATGAGAGCGAGAGTAATGGAGTGATTTCGCTTGAGTCCGAATTCAAGCTAATTACAGCCCTATTAACAAGTAGGTTGAAGAAAATAAACAAGAGCTCGTCGCTTTGGTTGTGGCTCAAAAAGTTATCTATAATGCTAATATTTAAAGACATTGTGCTGGACGAGGTTGATCTGAAGACGATTGCAAATTTCACCAAATTGATCGACTCTATATTGAAAGCAAGCGAGCTTCATTTTGCAAACTATTATGCGTCAAATTTCTTGAGATGGTGTATACGGATGGTGAAGCTCAATTCAGCGCGGGCTGAAGAACTATTGGGTCTCGTGGCTATGAGGCTCACCAAGCTCTGTCGTTTGCATTTGACAGATGTTTCAATGTGGGGAAGTCTTCAGGTATTGTTTGAGAATGGTTCCAGAAACGAGCAAATAAATGAATACATAGTGGAAGACTATAATGCAATTGCAAGCGAGATTCCAAAACCCTACAGCACCCCAATCATAACAGCTCTTTCAAAAAGAGACTATTACACATTTCCGTCTGCATATGCCCACGATGAGTTAGCCTGGCTTCTACTGGTGAAGTGTTCCATAGTAACTCCATACATATGTGTGTTCCTGCATGAGGGCCTCATCACTGTTGAAGGGAAGTTGCAACAACAATACACCGAGTTAAACAAATTGAGCGACAAGGACTCCTTTCTTTATCAGGAAACACTGCATTATATTAGCGTTCTAGAGCGGGTAGTACAAAAATATAGAGCTATAAGTGGCCGTATTCGTGCTAGCAGCCCTACCTAGTACTATCTGCTTGCATCACTTCAAGTAACAGTATGTGCAGGATCTTTCTCGATTTGTCTACCTATATGTGCGATATGTAGGATCTTATTTAAATAGTAATCATGATGATCTAGTACTGTAAAAATCGTAGTAGTAATGGTATGTAGCTATGGGACGTTGATACTCTAAGGTAACTTTGGCATTTCAAGTGAAAAAAAAGAAGAAAGAAGTTGAGTAAAAATGGAAGATTTACTGATCTTAAGCACTAGATCTCAAGTTGCCCCACGACATTTTACTTTCTCTTTACTAACGTCTAGCTTAAAATCCGCCAGCTTCAAAAAAAGAAGCTTGAAGAAGCTGCAGCCAGTGCTGCTGCAACCGCAGATATAACAGGAAACTCATCGACTATCTCCTCTAACAATAAGATAACCCCGGCGCAATTGAGACTACAGAAAGATATCACGGAATTGGATATACCTAAGTCTATCAAGCTCACCTTCCCCAATTCTAGCGATTTGTTCAATTTCAATTTGTCCATAACTCCACAACAGGGCTACTACAAACTTGGAACTTTTCAGTTCACGGTAGAGATTAACGGGAACTTCCCTATGGACCCACCTAGGATCAAGTGCTCCAATAAGATCTACCACCCTAACATCGACTTGAGCGGTAATGTATGCTTGAACATTTTGAGAGAAGATTGGTCTCCGGTACTAAATTTGAACTCGGTTTTGATCGGGTTGAATTTTCTCTTCTTGGAGCCCAATCCCAATGACCCATTGAATAAAGATGCTGCCAATGTGTTGGTCAAGAATAAGACCTTGTTTGCGAAGAATGTGAGAGATTCGATGAGAGGTGGGTATGTGGACCAGGAGTATTACGATAGGATAGTGTAGATAGGAGTAGAGTAGGTACATCATAATTAAGATTAACCTTTACTATTATTATTATTATTATTATTATTATTATTATTATTATTATTAATACTTTTATTAGTCATATTGGTATTACTAGTATATTTGCTTGTGTGAAGGAGACGAGATCCACTTTTACAAAGTTTTACAAAGAACTTCTCAGTGCTGTGGAGAAATTCTGGTGGTGAATTTTGATAGCAAGTGCTACCTATGTCCCTACCTCTGAGAACTTTCCTCCATGGACAAAATTCTTTACTTCTTCTTTGAAACACTCTCTTGAAAGATTATCATGGTGTGAGGCTAATGATGGCAAGTTGATATGGACATGAATACCAGGACAACCCATTCTCATCCAAAGTGTGGATGGAATGCGGCTCTGAAGAATGTAGTCAAATCATTCGTATCGAGGCGAATGCTGCCATATTGATAACTGGCCAAGTGTTGGATTTACTTATGTTTTATCTTAGCTTTTGCCATCATGTCCAAGGGAGCGAAAAGAGAGAATAGACTAGACAGTTATCCATTAAACACAGTGCTAGTCTTAAATGCATCAATTGCACCAGCCCGTGCATTATATACATTTTTCACTCTCTGTGCTGCATGATTTTGATTCTCGAGCGCTATACTTTACGCTAGCTTATTCTTAGAAGCAAATCGAAAAGATATCTCTTTTCCATTGCGGCTGTCCAACATGGCCCTAGGCATGAAGGTGATTGACTTGTGATTAGCAGCCTGTTGTCGTATTTGGTAACGCATTTGATGTACGAGCCAAAAAATATCTGTAGGCAGTGGAAAAATTGCCATAGAAGTAAGAATTGCACTGTACCGTCTGCATGGAGAATTCGACGAGTTGAATGTGACCTTAAGATATCCTAGTTATCTGGCCATGGAAAAAACTACATATACGTTGAGCATTGGAAAATTCGATATACTTCTAACAATACTCTAGCTACTTCTTTTAAATTTAGAGATGGAAACTGAACTGCCTGCCCCACAGTATGCTCACTATTGATCTTTTTGATAAGGTTGCATGAGAATAAAAAATATTCAACGATAAAGAATTTGAAAGCAAAGAAATTTCTATATGAGCAACCTTCTTTCTGCCAATGCCAAATGTACTTAGTTCAGTTCAGCAGCCATTTCATAGAGTAACTTATTCTGTGGTAGATAGGTGTGCGGCTCGCGAACTACTTGATAATTGAAGATTCAAATTCTACGAGGCATAAGGTACTGGTTACTATTTTCATCATTTCTTTACATATTGTACTTTTTCATTCAATTGCTTTGTTGAGTGTCTGGCATACTTAAATTTTATACAAGATGGCAATAGGTGTTGCTGAAAACGTATTAGCTACAGCTGGTACTATATGTTGGTGTATTCAGCTAATTCCTCAAATCATTAGAAACTATAGAGTTAAAGACTGTGAAGGATTCACTCCACTAATGATGTTCTTGTGGGCAGCAAGTGGAATTCCATTTTCGATTTACTTTTTTGGTACTGATGGATCCATTCCATTGAGAATTCAACCACAGTTATTTACATTTCTCTGTACAGTAGCATGGATCCAGTCACTATATTATCCACCCGTTAAAATGCCGTTGAAGAAAATCGCTGTATATGGTGCTTCGTTTGCAATCATTGGTGCAGCGCTAGAGGCAGGTTTTATTGTTTGGTTACGTCCTGTGTATCGTCACGGTACTCACTGGCCCATGTTAATTTTTGGCATCATTGCTTCGATTTTGTTAGCTGTAGGGCTAGTCCCACCTTACTTTGAATTGGCTAAGAGAAAAGGCAGGGTTATTGGGATTAATTTCGTATTTTTGAGTATGGACTCAATGGGTGCATTATTGTCCATGCTCAGCATTTGTGTAGGGACATTTGATATTATGAGTATGGTCTTGTACGCAATTGTCTTAGCCATGGAAGTAGGCATCTTTTTGTCTCACATCATCTGGTACTTCAGATTCGGTAGACATGAAAAGAAGCTTGAAAAGGAGCTTGAAAATGGTTTGGAGAAACCTAAAGTTGATGAAAGTATCGCGTAGGAGAGCGAGTATCTAAGAGACTACCAGTAAAATAGAGAGGTGAAGTATTTATAATATCGGTATTTATATAACATAGCAAAGCGAAAGAAAGCAATGGAATATCGGCGTATTTACGGCTAATAGAGTATTTATTTAATAGAATAATAGCAATAATAATCATTGTATAATGGTGATTATGGTAGAGTCTCCGTTGGTAAGCTCCGGAGATTCTGCAACATGTTTGTTATATGCAGGTGGTATCAACTCTCCAAATGCAACCTTGTACATCATGTTACTCTTATATCCATGTTCTAATGCCTCTGGCTTGGAAAGATGTTGATTGGGATTGTATAAGTACCCAATGCTAAAGGGGAGTATATGCCAGAACGAGAATGGTGTGTGAAATAGAGAATTACTACACGTAAAAGATTGTAATAATACAATAAGACCTGTACAGAGAAAAGTAGAACTGTAAAAGTACATTTAGTTATACATTACTTTCCGTTTAGTTTTGCTACTCTTAATTATCGTTTATGTTATGATTATATTATTACTATTATTATTATTATTATATTTGTAACACAGCTATGTCAAGAGGACGGTATGCTACTATAAAAAAGACGTCTCTTATTCTGTACTGTGGACAAAACCTGGTGGATCTTTGCTGCTAACAAGTTCCACTCCGGATCCCTCGCCGCCCTCTCTTAAGTGCTTCCCTCAATTGACAAAAATTTGTACTTCTTCTTTGTAACCTCGTAGCAATCCTTCAATGCATCGTCGTCAACAAACCAAGTGACCCTCCCAGCAGCTCCCTCGTTCACAATACTACTGGGCAAACCCTTTTCTGGTCTTTCCATGATGGTTCTTATAATTGGGGCCTTAGTTAAACCTTCTACCACAAATGTCACTCTATGGGCATGGCATATAACTGGGATTGACAATGTAATTCTATTCTCTGGACCTGCAGGTGCATTGGACACTGGCAAGCACCAGGCCAATTTCTCTCTTAAAATCTCTCCATGGTTGGGGAATAATGATGCAATATGCCCATCTGGGGCACACCCCAACAACAAAAGGTCAAACATGGGCAACTTAACTGAATCCTTTTTGGCAAAGTTGTCTATAAGCAACTTCTCGTACGCATCAGCACATTCTTGTGGATCATCTATAAGTGATTCGTCAATGTGGTGGAGCTTAGGGTGTTTATCTCCCTTTATGTGGTCGAAAATTTCTCTCTTGGCCTGTCCATAGTTTGAGTCTGGGGAATCGAACGGCACCAATCTCTCATCTGCAAAGTAAACGTCCCATTTGTCCCATTCGATTTCTTCTTCTCTAGATAATAACCCTTGGAATAAGATCTTGATCAACGACCCACCGGATATAGCGATTTTGAATCTGAGTTCTTGTTTCTTCTTTTTGTCTTTTTTGCTCTTGCTGGACACACCATTGCTACTTGCTCCATTCAAGTTTGCTGTGCTGCTTTCAGTCCCGCCAATGCTGCCACTTCCACTGCCGCTGTGGCTATTGGACAACGAGATGCTCGAAGCAGACGCAGCTATCTTCCTGTTAGCCAAATGGTCCTTTATCAACTTAATCTGAGCGTGGTCGAGGGTATTGTAAAGAGTCATGTTCTGCGCGGAGATAACATGGTCTGCCACTGCTTCTGCCACTCCTTCAAATTCAGGGAACGAGTAGATTAAAGGAACTGTGGTGGTCATGTTAAGGCTGCTCTATCTAGGACTTTTTTTTATCTTTTTTTTTCAGTATTTTGGTGCAAATCGTGAAAGTGTCTGACTAACTTCCTTTTTAACACAGTTTGTGGTTTTTGGCGCTCAACACTGAGAGATCCCTTATCTATGGATCACTATAAAAACAGTTTTCGATTTTTTTGGAACCTATTGGTATCAAATTGTACTTAGTCGAGTACTAGTCGGTGCCCTATGTCAAAATTGTACGTTAAAACGAGTAGGATCCTCAACAATTGTGGTGTTCTATCCAAAAGAAAGTGTTTGGTAAAGTGTCGGTCTCCCTTTTTTTGGTTTTTCCTTTTTTTCCTTATTTTTTTTTTTTGCCTTTTTTTTTTTTGAGTCAGTCGGTGCGGTGCTAAATTACTGATCGAGATCAAACTTTTGGAAGGCGGTAGTGTCTCCGATAAAATATTAGTGGTGAGTTTAGCGGCGGAAGAAAAATAGATTAGCTTTGATGACTACGGTGTGGTGCAAGGTGACCACCAACGGTGGGAGTTTCGGGAAATTTGGGAAGATATGTCTAGATATATATTCGGAGGGGGAGACAGATAATGGATAACAGAATTGAAAACGTTAGAGAGATTGAAATTTTCCACTTAAAACAATAACAGGGATTTAAACTTTAAAGTGGTCCTAATGGGGTTCACATGGCAATCTCTTCCAATGGTATTGTCTGGTTAGAGTAGTGTATCAGCTTACATAGTTACTGATTGTGAGTTGCGTTTTAGAATTCTTTTTTTTTTTTGTTTTTCTAGTGCATTTTTCATTTTTTTTCTTCGCTGTGTTTCTCTCTCACACTTCTAATTCCTTCAGCGTTTACTTTATTTTTTAAGGGATTATGCGCATTAGGAAAGATTCTTTCACGCTACAAGAGTCTAATGGGAGTTCAGTAGATAAGCAATCTAAGGTTCCTTGGGATGCGTATGGGGTATATACAAAAAAAGAAAGCAAAGGAAAAATTAAGCAAGAAAAAAAGAAGAAAAAAGTGACCCACTAACGTCGCGCTAGGCTAATTCTCTTGCTTAGCAATCTTCCTCAACATCACCATATCTACAATGGTTGCTCGCTTAATTATTTTAGACATACTAACGAATCAGCTCCCAATAGGCACTTTTTCACTTTTTTCTCGCTACTTCTTTCACCGCTTCACCTCTGCCTTGATGCACTCCACATAAAAATAAGTCCGCGGGCCATTTACGAATGCACTGTAGTCGTTGTGAACGCAACTTAAGTGGAAATTCAAATAGGAGTGCCGTATTGTTGTTTATTGATGAACCTTTACACTTTTTGTTGAACTGAAAATTGGACGAGGGTGAAAAAAAAAGGAAAAGGCGGTTTTTACTTTGTCATAACGATAATGTTAACTTTTCACTTCTTTTAGATAAAGGTTCGACGTCCGAAGAATGTACGAATTGCGTGCAACATAATTCTCCGTACTGATAGTAATATTTTGTCACATTCTGTGAAAGTGCGACACCAGCTGCAGAATATATCCCTGGCATGTATCTTAGTATTCCACATTACACGTTTCTCTTCCCTTCCTATATTCTTCTCCGATCTTTTGCAATCAGCAGTCTTCATCACTACTTGTTGCATGATTATACAAGTCTCGGTCGCTTCCCCTCTATTTTCGAGGTTTAAGCTTTCTTGCTGACTACGTACAAAGGAAGGTTGAAAGTTAAGGTGGGTCACGTGAAATATTGCAAAAAGCATGCTTGCGAGCTAAATGATAGTTTATGTAGAACCGTACCGTAGATGGGACGCACACTTGCTGCAAATGAATACTGCCTGAAGTGGTAAAAGACTCCTGGAACTTGGCCAAATAGTGAGTAAGTTTCAGCTAGCATAAATTCGAGTGAGTGTCAGAAATGCTGCGAGCCACGTTCACTTAATAGCTGAATTCTGAAGGCCACTAGATCTTTGCATCTGTCTGAAGCTTCTGATTCCTGTTACCTTGTATTTGACGTTCCCCCGGCATATGGCTTCTTAAGTGAGCCAACAACAAAATTTAATCAAAAAATACCGTACTTGTATGACTACCATTAAACAAATTGTTCCAACTTACACACCCCAAGCAAAAATGTACATCAGTGCACCCAAGTATCTCTTTAGTTTGTGCTTCTAATTATTTCTCAAATCTACAGAATTTCCTACATATTATACATAATCCTCTTGATACACCTGAGATATTTGCCATCCAGTAGCAATATTCCTGTAAGAGCTACTTTTCGTCTATTATCATACTAAAAGCACCATGGCATTCGATAATGTTCTACAGATAGCCACTTCTGTTATCCGAGATTGGATATCAGATGTTACAAACGATGCAAAGCACACAATATATGAAACCCCCACATTTACACAATTTCTCTACGTTAAGGACAAGCAAACTGTTGTGACGCTTAACTTAGTATTACAAAGGGAAAAAGAAATCACTATTTTGTTCATATACACTTTGGATAATAAGTCTCAATCATACCCTGTCAATTTCACAGATGACTTAAGTATCACATTACCAATTGATACGATCACAGATGAGCTTAGAGAACAGCTAATCAAACAATTTTCTGGTGAAGAGGAAAATTTGAAAAATGCTTTGAAAACTCGCAATCTACAGGAACTGGAGACTCAATTGCCGCAACAAGAGAGGAAAATACCACAAGAGTTAAGAGTACAAAATGCGAAGTTACCTAAGTTAGATTTTGAAGTCACCAGATCACCACAAGGACAGCAAAGACTGAGGCCGGCTGACATGCCAGATTTTGACGATGAGTACGAAGTATTACCGAAGAATAATGCAGGACGTAGAGATAATAGGGACATATTCCCATCAATAGGAGACGATGATTTGAACCCCCCAGGTTTGCCTAAGAACCCTGAGCTAAGACCTTATTTGGACCATGGAAGAGGCAGTGCAAGTGGAGGTGGCATGTACCCTTCTCTCGACCATCCTTTGTTCCGCGGAGGAGGAGAAGGGAGAGACTCCAATGCAAATATACCTGGATTACCATCTGGTGCACGTTATGATGATCCAATGGCAGGAGGTGGACCAGGTGGTCTCGGATTCGATGGTGCTGCAGGACCTAACTTCGATGGCCTGTTTGGCCCTAATTCCTCTAGGCGAGGTAGGGGTGGCGGTGCTCCGGGATTTCCTCCACCACCTGGTTCGGGCTCAAGTGGTGGCGGATTTGGTAATTTTGGCTCGTTTGGAGGCTTTTAACACTCATAACAGGCTCTATGGGGCTGAAGTACATAGGATTAGCTTATTGTAGCAAATAAATAACTAAAAAGGAGGTTAAAGTCCAGGTAGAAAATGGCAACATAGACGTGTAAGCGCTGTCCTGAAACGGTTATGAAATCTTCTCCATTCTTTTATTACTTTTTTTAGTATGGTTGACCATGAACTCTCGCTAGGCATATGTTTTTCTTAGAGCTTCTTGTGGGGAACGAGGGGCACATTTTTTTTTGAAAAAATAGTCCCAGAGCGGAAGTAAATGCAACAGAAAATAATACCGAGACGACAAAAATACGGAGTAGGGAGAAAAATAACGGTTTTAAGAGAAGGGTAAACTTGCTAAATTCTAAGTGGATTCTAAAGAATTAAAGGAAAGCAGTGCAAACTGTAAGCAACTTTGAACTTGTTGGATATATCCCCTGTGATGCACAACTCGGGATATCTATCTTAATTTCTTTGCTTCAATGAAACTAGAAGGACGAAACTAAGTGCAACCATTAAAATTGGTTGCTGCGAGCCGTTTCGTACATTAAGGTAAACGCATCTCATGCACAACCAGAAGATTACTTTACAGGAGAATAGACCGTACTTCGAAAATGAGTAGCCGAAGAAAGTTTAAAATTAGGAACTCAGGAATTGCCTGACGGAGTCCACCCACATCCAGTCCCTTTTAGACTCACGCGAGAACAGTGGAGGCTCATCATGTTGCATCTGTTGCTCTTCTGTGTTTCCAAGAACTTCTCTTGCGACTAACACATAGAAAGATAAGAAAATTGAAGGAGTTTTTACGAGTTTGATCTAGCAACCAAGAAATTTAGCATAGTTCTTATGCATTTATACGGCTCTATATCTGAGAAGGTATAAGGTGGACCAGGACCAATACCATGACCAGTGATTTTCATTCCTCACTGAAATGATTTAGCTATAGGCAAGGATGATCTCACATGTGTCAAAGATCATCAGCTCCACAGCAAAAAAAAAAAAAAAAAAATTAAATCCGTACATGAGTGGAGAAGCAGCGAAGAAAAAGCAAAAAAAAAAAAAAGTAATCCAAAGCTAAGGGGAAAATTTTTGATCTCATTAAAAAGAAATACATATGAAAAAACCCAAGTTTAAACGAACTACAGTACCTAAAATAACCATCGAAAACACTCCAAAACATTCCCAAAACTCCGACATAAGGTTACTGCCATACGTAAACATAACTAACTTTACTTACTGCATTAGTTCTATTATTCAAATATGTATACTCTTCGAGGTAAAGTTTCTCACTTGAGCCAAAAATTTCATCTTCATTCGGTCAGTGCATTCTCATAAAAATTACTTTACCGAAAGTGGAATTTTCCATAATTCCCCGCGAAATATTTTTACTGTCCGTCATCAAAACCCTGCATATAGAGCACTTTTATTGTTAATTTGCTTCTGAAATAGGCAGTTTGTTGTAGAATAAATTTAACATTATGCAAGTCAAATTTGTGAATTGTAATAAACGAAGAGATGTAAAAAGTATACCCTAAAGAGCTACAATATAAAACCAAAATAATGCCCTCCCTAAACAATTCTTAGAAGTTTCTTTCTCTTTCTCTTTTTTCAAATCATCAATTATACCCTTGAAGCAAGAAAAACTTTCAGATTAATTTCGAATCATTGTAAATTAATTTCAGACTTGGAAGATATATTTTCAGTTAAACCGGTTTTAACCTTATATTGTCTTCACTACAATCTTTTACACTCACTTTATACTTCCGTTAACTCCCCCCCACATAATCAGAAATCGAAACCTTTTTTCCGTTTCTTTTTTTATATTATTTTAAATTCATCGTTGGTTCCAATTATTTGCTTTCAACAGAAACTATAAAATAGATAGCGTTTGGTCATATCAAGATAATAGGTCATCATATTACCTTTTTTTTTGATTGCTCAGTTTCATTTCATTCATTTTTTTTATTATCAATTTAGTTGAAATATTGATATTAAGGAAGGACTACTAAGACTAGTATTACTCATCTTTGATATTGACTTTTCTTTTATATTGGCTTTTCAAATTACGATTCCAATTTTATTTTAGCATATGAATCAGAGCCCTCAAAATCTGCGCAACAGCAAAGATACAATCGATTCCGATAACGACACATATATAGAAACATTACTGAACATAGAAGACAAAAACCAAATGTCTTCCCAAACAAACTTGGAAAGCGGCCAACCACAGAATCTGAGGCAACAGCAACCACCTCATGAAAACTTCACCCCTAACCCTTACGATACCACCGCATACGCACAAAATAATGCAGGTACCGTGGACCCTGAAAATCCAAACGGCTTACAAAACCAAAAGAGATTGTTCTCATTCATTTTCTCGAAAAAGGTACCACCAATCACAGCACCAGAGGAAAGAAAGCCATACCCATGGAAACATGCCAACTTATTCAGTCAAGCATTCTTTCTTTGGTTGAGACCAATGTTATACAAGGGTTACAAGAGAACTCTTGTAGCAGAAGACTTGTATTACTTGGAAGATGATTTAAAAGTTGAAACAATGCATGCTAGGTTTGACAAATATTTGAAAAAAAGATTAGCTAAGGCTAAGGAAGAACACCTTAAAACGAACAGTAATTTGGAAAACTTCAAATGGCCCAGATTTATCTTAGAAAAAACCACCTATGATACCTTTTTCTGGCAATATAATCTTTCCATTATATATTTGGGATTAGCATTCTGTTGTCAATCATTATCTCCATTATTCACTAGAGCATTAGTTGATTTCGTGGAATACCGTTATTTTGGCTTTGAAACCTCGGTTAATAAAGGTGTGGGTTACACTCTTGGATCAGTGGCATTGATTCTTCTTAACGGTATATTCGTAAATCACTTTTTCCATGACGCCATGATGGTTGGAGCTATGACTAAAGCTGTCTTGACAAAAAGTATCTTGTTGAAGTCTTTCAACTTATCTGCTAAATCTAAGTATGAATTCCCAATGGGTAAAATCACTGCCTTAATGGGTACTGATTTAGCTAGAATCGATTTAGCTTTAGGTTACCAACCATTAATTGTTACATTCCCAATTCCTGTTATCATATCCATTATCCTTTTACTCTACTACTTGGGTGTTACTGCATTGGCTGGTATTGGATTATTTTTGATTTCATTATTTATTTGTGTTTCAATAACAAGAATCTTGTTTACTTACAGGCAAAAAGTTACTAAGTACACTGATAATAGAGTCAGTTTAATGAGAGAAGTCTTAACTCACATCAAAGTGATCAAGTACTACGCTTGGGAATATGCTTACAAGAATATGTTATCTGAAAATAGAACAAAAGAAATGAAATATATGTACACCATCAAGATCTTGAGAAATTTCATTACTGCTTATGCTGTCACTTTACCAACAATGACTTCTATGATTTCATTTGTTACATTATGGGCCACTGGAGGAGTTAAGAATGCTGGTAAAGTTTTCTCTGCATTGTCATTGTTCACTATTTTAGCACAAGGTATCATGTTGGTGCCATTTGCTTTATCTACTGGTGCTGACGCTTTACTTGCTTACGATCGTTGTACTGATTTCTTACTGGCTACTGAATTTGATGATGAAGTGGATCCAAAATTATTGAAAGAAAAGAGATTGTCTGTCGACTCTTCTTCTGAATTTGATTTCAGTATTAAAGAGATCGATGATGAAAATCCAATTGCAATTGAAGTTATGCATGCTGATTTCACTTGGGAAGTTTTCCATGATGATGTAAATATGAAAACTAACTCATCTTGGGAATACACTGAAGCTACTGCAGCCAAATTGAAAAAGAAGCAAAATAAGAGTAAGTTAACTACTACTGAAAAAGAAATCAATAAACTTGAAAAGACTACACTTGACTACGTTGACTTCAGAGGATCTTCAAGATCTTCGAATGATACCTTTTTCGAATCTCCTCAATCAATAGTTTCCAATGAAGAATTTATTCGCTCTCAAGCACGTACAAGCAAGAAACAAAAGGTCGTCCCAGAAAAGAACACCAACTTCCCTGGTTTACTTGATATTAATTTAACTATCAAGAAGAATGAGTTTGTCATTTTGACTGGTGTTATTGGATCCGGTAAGTCTTCATTATTGTCAGCTTTAGCTGGTGTGATGAAAATGTCAAACCCTTCGATCGGTCAAGTTCATATCAACCACAAATTATTGCAATGTGCTGCACCATGGATTCAAAATTGTTCTGTTAGAGAAAATATTCTTTTTGGTAAGCCATTTGACGCTCAAAAGTATGCTAAGGTTATTTATGCATGTTCGTTAGACACTGATCTTAAAGAATTACCAGCTGGTGATTTCACTGAAATTGGTGAAAGAGGGATTACTCTTTCTGGAGGTCAAAAAGCTAGAATTAACTTAGCAAGAGCTGTTTACTCTGATGCTCCAATTCTTTTGTTCGATGATGTGTTGTCAGCTGTTGATGCAAGAGTTGGTAGACATATTATTGACAATTTGTTTAGCGACTATTTGCACGACAGAACAAGAATCTTAGCTACCCATCAATTATCATTAGTCGAAAAAGCTGATAAGATTGTCTTTTTGAATGGTGATGGTTCAATTGATGTAGGAAAGTTTACTGATTTGCAAGGTAGAAACGAAAAGTTCAGGGAATTGATGTTTTTTAGTAACGACAATAAGCTGGAGACCAGTATTGATGAAAATGGACAACCAATTCCAAAAGCTGAAAAGAAAAAGAAGGAAGAAACCAACTCGTCAAATACCAACTTGACTGACTACCAAGATGTTCAACAAACTAGCATTGAGGGTAGGTTAACTGGTGATGAAGATAGAGCCACAAATGCCATCACATGGAATGTGTACAAGAAATATATCAGACTAGGTGAAGGATTTCTTGGGATTGGAGCTGTTCCAGTTTTCGTATTAACATGTGCAACAGCAACTTTCTGTCAACTTTTCACTAATACCTGGTTATCATTTTGGCAAGAGAAGAAGTTCAAAGGTATGTCAGATAACATGTATGTCTCGATTTACATCATGTTTGCATTTTTGACCGTTATTTTCACAGCAGCAGAGTTTTCTTTATTAGGTTATATGAATAACAACTCTGCAAGATACTTGAATGTTGGAGCAGTAAACAGAATTTTACACACTCCAATGAGCTTCATGGACACCAATCCAATGGGTAGAATTTTAAACAGATTTACAAAGGATACCGATGCTTTGGATAATGAGTTAAGTGAACAATTAAGATTGTTCTTATTCCCAGCAGCTATGATTATTGGTATTATCATTTTATGTATCTGTTACTTACCATACTTTGCAATTGCAGTTCCATTTTTAGCGTTTGCCTTTATTTTTGTTGGTAATTACTATCAAGGTTCAGCAAGAGAAATTAAGAGATTAGAAGCTACTCAAAGATCATTAGTTTACAACAACTTCAACGAAATTTTAACTGGTTTACCAGTAATCAAAGCTTATAGCGCTGAAGAAAATTTCATTGAAAAGAATGATAAATACATCAATCAAATGAATGAAGCTTATTACTTAACTATCGCCAATCAAAGATGGTTAGGTATTTCATTAGATTGTATTGCTGCTGCTTTTGGTTTAATTATTTGTATGTTGTGTATAACTGATCAATTCAATATCGGACCACAATCAACTGGTTTGTTATTGAATTACTGTATTCAAATCGTTGGTTTGTTGTCCTTAACTATTAGAGCTATGACTCAAGTTGAGAATGAGATGAACTCAGCTGAAAGATTATACCAGTATGCATTCAATATTCCCCAAGAAGCAGCATACGAAAAGACTGAATTTAAGCCAGCTCCTGAATGGCCACCTTCTGGTTATATTCAGTTCAAAGATGTTTCCTTGCGTTATAGAGAAGGATTACCTTTGGCAATTAAAGATTTGACTTTTGATGTTTACCCAGGTGAAAAAATTGGTATCTGTGGTAGAACTGGTGCAGGTAAATCTTCAATCATGACTGCCTTGTACAGATTGGTTGAGTTGAACTCCGGTTCGATTTCCATTGATGGTTTAGACATCAGCAACTTGGGATTATTTGACTTAAGATCAAGGTTGTCTATTATTCCACAAGACCCAGTCTTATTCCAAGGTTCTATGAGAAAAAATTTGGACCCATTTAATGAACACTCGGATGATGTCTTATGGGACACCTTGAGAAGATCTGGATTAATTGACGAAAGCTCAATAGAAATTGCAAAACACCAACACCAAAGTGCTAATAATAACGTCGGATATGATAACTTGCATAAATTCCACTTGGAGCAAATTGTTGAAGACGACGGGGTCAACTTTTCATTCGGAGAAAGACAATTAATTGCATTAGCAAGAGCAATGGTCAGAAAACCAAAGATTTTGGTTTTAGATGAAGCTACTTCATCTGTTGATTATGAAACTGATGCTAAGATTCAAAACACAATTGCCAACGAGTTTGGTCAATGTACCATTTTATGTATTGCTCACAGATTGAAGACAATCTTGCATTACGATAGAATCATGGTCATGGACAAGGGTAGAGTGGTCCAAAGAGACAGTCCATATAATTTATTCAACAAGAGAGGAATCTTTAGATCAATGTGCGAGAAGGCAAACATTGATAGGAACGATTTCGATCTTTGATACCCTTTAGATATAGTATAAATTAAAAAGAGAAAACTAGTTACAAGAAAATGAACTAAAAAAGGAAAAAACAGCACCGGAAAGCAGTTTGATGCTTTCTGTAAAAAGTTTAAAGTGAATGAATATCAATTTCTTCACTATGTATAATGAAATAAATAATACCCATTTAATTAATTAACTAAGAAGTCAACCTGTAGAAGTATAAAAGCAGTCTAATTCCTTTGGAATTTCAAAGAGAATGGACATATCGCCGTATAATGAAAGAAATGATACTCTACTAACTATTGAAGTAACTAACTAACTCACTTATAGAACTGGAGCTCCCTAAAACTCGTACTCCTTAACAATTTGATTAACTAGCAATCTAACCTGTAGTAAGGTTCCGGCTCATTTCATAGGCTGCAAACTATACAGTGGCCCCTCGTTTCAAATTAAACCAAACCTTATTTACTCTTCATTATTCCCAAAAGAGTAAACGAAAGAGAAAGCTCCTCTACATTCCATACACACCTCTTAGGAATGTCTTGTAGTAGTTTAATTTCCTCTGATCTGTTTAAGGTACCAAATTTCTTAATCTTCCTAACGCTTTTATTTTTTCTGTCTCGCTTAACCAGAAATTGAGATTTCCATGCAGATACAAAAACAAAACTTACGTGAATGGAAGAGTACGGTAAGGATATTGAAGTGAAGAGACCACCGGTGAGCCTAATATGAATAGTGATGAAGCTGCGGTGTTTGCTCAGCAAGTACAAGACCTTGATCTGAAAACAAGAACTTACAGGAGGGTGGAAGAAGCCCTGAAAAAGATTAGAGATGAAACTCTTCGCTTTAAACATATGTACGACAGGAGTGATGAATTTGTGAGATTGCAGGCGGCGGCATTGGAGACGGCAAAACGTGTAATTAAAGCTTATAATACTAGATTTGAGTCCTTGGAGATAACAATTGACCAATTGAGGGACCAAGAAGAAGGCAGGTTGGAAGATTTACTCATGGAAACGGAGTCTATACATGTTGCTGCCCTTAAAGAGAAAGACTCGGAGATAGACGCATTGAAAAAGAGATTAGCTTCACTAAATGAGAAGAACGATGAGACCTCGGGCATATTAGAGTCGCTTCAAGGCAAGGATGATATGATAAAGGGTTTGATAAGGGAAAAACAGGAAAATCAGGGCAAGCTAGGTAAGTTGGAACAGGAAAATGCGGAGTTGAGGGTGTCACTAGTGTCGGCGCAAGAGGCTAAACTAGCATCTGATATAGAAGCAGACGTTCAGACGAACTCACTTCTAGCAATTAAGGCTGAATTTACTTCACTCAAGGACGAGGTGGCTGAATTAGTTGCCAAAATGGATGATGACTCAAAATCTGATGATCTTGTAGCAGAGATAATTGTCCAAAATGAAAAGCTTACTGATGAAAATACGACCCTAAAAAACGAACTTACTCAATTGAGGATAGGCCGCAGCAATAAACACAGCAACGAGGAGCTTTCTAAGCTCACGGAAGACTTAAAGTCTAAACTTGCAGGCGAAACCAAAAAGGTGTCCAGGTTGGAAACTCAGTTGAAGCGTATTATGGACGAACTGAGAATAACAGTACACTATAATCCTGGTGAAAATACGATCCAGAATAAATATGATGCCAAATTGAACATGATAAGGGAGACTTATGAGGTAGAAATTGGTAAATTGGAGGATGAGATGGTCCAACAAAGCAATAGATGCGTAGAGTTGGAAGGATATATCAGGAACCTCTTGATACGAGAGGAAGATAACCAGAAACTCCTTAAATTGAGGGAAGAAGTCATTCATTTGGATGAACAGTTGTTGTCCGCCTACCAGATCTAATAGATGTAGAAACGGAAACGGAGACGGAGACGGAAGCGGTAATAGAAATACCCTTGGAATTCAATTTCACCTACTATGGTGTCTAGCCCGCAGTTGGGCTACAGGTGAATGAGGACATTTGTACAGCAGTACATGATATTTGGTATCACTATTTATATTTTGGTATTATACGAGTTTAACTATGAATTGCTATAGTGTTCTATTTTATTTTTACCGGTTTCTCTTGACAGAATTTCTTCTCACACCCTCCATGCTTCATAGAAAATTCTGGCAGCTGCAGAATTGGTCAATAAAGAAGGAACATAATTCCCATTACAAGTTCCAGGAGAGGAACTAGAAGAAGAAGAAGACGATGAAGTGGTGAAAGCCTCTTTATACTTTGAAGAAACACTTGGAGGTGCCAGGCTTATATCGTCATAATAGTTCCCAGTGGTTCCATCTTGATAATAGTCGAACACATACTGAGCTTGTCTGTTGATCTCCAGCGATATATTTTGCAGTAATTGCCACCCCTTCGCTGAATTGATTCCGACCAAGTTATAGAAATCTGCAAGTCCCTGGAATAATAAATATGAGTATTTTAATTGGTTGTTCCAATAACCATTTGAACCATAAAGTGCTCCGGAACCGCTAGCAGATGCTTGAATTAAAAGTTCAGCTTGTTCTAGCCAATTTTCATCCTTTTCAATATTGTATAGATAAGAGAATGTCGAGATTGCAGTTCCCACGGTGTATGACAATTTTCCCTTATTGATGCTACCAGTATTGATTTGTAAACCATCATAAAATAAGTGATCCGAAGGATCTTGCAAATTGTCTATAGCCCAGTTGATCACTTGTTTACTGAAACTCAACCATTGTTCGTCACCAGTTGCTTCATAAAGCCTGACTGCAGCTAATGCACCTTCAGTCTGAGAAATTGAAGCTAAATATTCACCGTTGTAACTCCATCTGATCCCACCTTCAGAGTACCATTGACCCTGAATAAATTCCATGATACCTATGGCAGCATTGAGGTAGTCATCATTGCCGGATAGCTTATAAGCGTCAAGAAAAACCCACACAGTCTGAGCATTATCATCCGTGTAGATATCAGTATTAGCGGCTGTTGTTGATGAATATCCACCAGTTGCTGAATTTTTATATTTAGACAATTGAGTCGTAATATATCCCACATAGTATGGATTATTTGTGAAAAGTGCAGCACCGCCAGCGACGGCCAGGTCCCACAAGACAGGGGAAGTGTAGGAACAACCACTGTCAGACCAAGAGCCCTCCTGGTAATTCCAAAATATACTCCAGGTTGAGTTAAACAGCAGATCAAATGCTGAGTATGCATTGAAATAGCTACTTGAAGATTTTGTACTTGAATACGAGTATGTTAGGGAAATTGGTGCTGCAGTTGTTGCACCCAAAATGAGAATAACGAATGAAAGAAAATATTGACCTAACACCATTATCTATTGATTTCTTTTTATTTTTTATTATAATTTGTACGTTTGCTGCTGGAAATAACGAGAGCAAAATGAAATGAACGTGAAGAATGGAAAATGTTGCAAATGGAAAGACAAAACACTTCTTTCTAATAAATAATGGCCAAAATCTAGGGACAACTACTGAAATGTGTATCTATATATATATATTCAAAGGAAATGCACAAGAAAATCAAGAAAATTAAGAAAACGCAAATGCACACACATGGAGCCAAACAAGGAAGATCGTAGCATTATTTATACACATCACACAGGTTGGCTTTTCTATTTTTACCTAGAATAGCCTATAACTAACTGATGTCCCAGGTAATTTTCACTGTAGAGAATCACACTGCGGTAGAATATGCAATGTGCCACATTTCGATCCGGCATATTTTAGGTGAGGTGCATGGTGAAACGCTTTCCAAGAAGCGTAACTGCTTCTAAACAAGTGATTTAGTTTCACATAATTACCTAAGTGGGCAACGTAGTACATTAAAACATTGCTCGGTACCTCTCTAAAAGTTTGGAGTCTAAGATCATTAACCCCGTGCGTACTTATTAGGAAATAGATTTGTATCAGATTCTGATTTAGTAAGAGGGAAGCTTGAAAAAAACGTCGCAACCTTGCATAAACCAAGCTGACATTTTCGCCTAAAGTATAAAATTGGTGGACTTCACTAGGATACGAAATAGATTATTGCATTGGCATTATCAAACATTTTACGAATCGATGGATCAAATATTTACGTGTTTCGTTCCTCTTCAAAGTGCAAGCGGTTATCATGGTCGTACAAAATAATTACATTACCTCACTAAGCAAGGAAGTTTCTCTCACATCAAAGCCCAAATTATAATGTGCGACATTAAAACAAAATTAAGAGATGAGGGAAGAAGATGAATCAGGCAAGTAATTTTACGTCACTTTTTGGGCTATGATCCAGATACTATATTGAGTTAGGGTCTGGAACCTTGATCTCTTTGTATTTCCTTGTGAAACACAATAGGAGATTTCGAATGCCCGATAAGGTTAATGTCAAGAAGGGGGGGAGGGATGCCGCAACTGAATGTGTTCCACTTCCATTTCTTTTTTCGCAAATATCTAGGCACCACTTGGTTGCACGAGAATGTGTCAGAACCAGTAATTATTGCAGCAGGAGCGGGCTCATGCATAGTGTGGGGCTCATCACCTCTTACATTTTGTTCAGTATGCACTAAAGAGGAAATTGGTTACAGAAGTACGAGAGCGAATAGACCCTATCAAGAATGGCTCTCGGGGTATAAACATAACGGAAACTCTACTTAATGAATAAAAAACTAAACCAACTATAAGATAGAAGAAGAGAGTTGTCGAAATGGCTTATTAAATGAAAAAACAAACAAACTGGAAGGTTAAGTATCAGTACTGATTGTTTCACGGTACCTAGAAGGTGGATATACTTCGCTTGAAATGTTCGCTTGAAATGTATCGAATATATGTATAGATGGTATGTGTATATATGGTATGTAGTATTTACGTATAAAATAAATACGCGAGTATGCTGCTTTTATGTTTATGTTTGTTTATGTTTTGCTTAGTTCTTTCGATAGGCCGGTTATTCTTCTCAAATTAAAACCTTCAATTCCTTTCATTTATATCTTGTGTGTAATGTAGTACAAAAGATATGCGTTTGTATTCATGACTTCTTCTTGGCTAATTCTTGTGATGACGCTGTCATCAAATCTGAACCATTGTCCATTCCCATCCTTGATTATCGCTATATAGTGACCAGTGTTTACAGAGCCAACATGGCACACCATGGCGAATAATTCGTAAACTTTATTTCCATCAATATAGGAAACATCTGATCTTTGTTCGATTTGTTCCTCATTTACAGCTGAAGTGTACTTGGTCAAGTCTAAAAACAATGGAATTTTGACTGGCGTTTCCACTTTCGATGAAGTATCATTAAGAAGATTATGCTCAAATCTTTTCAACTGGATCCCCATCACAGGTGCCAATTTCTTTATCTTTAATGATTTAATTGCTTTAGATCTGTCACCACAATACTGACATTTGTACAGTGAGTCAAGATTTTCATCTTTGGTAAATAAATCAAGACAATCATAGAGAGTCAATGAATCTCGAGAAACTTTGGATTTATTCTTCAATTTATCCCTCCTAATTTCCAATGATAGATCAACAGTTGGATCAGTGGTATTGGTAACAGAATCACAAGATAGACATTTAATCGATGATTCTAGTTCCCCAGAGAAAGCTCTATGAGTTATACAATTACATTTGTCACCACTGTCATCATCATTATCTGCCTCATCTTCCTCATCTTCGTCACCATCTTCCTCCTCCTTCACAATTTTCTTAACTCTTTTATAATCTTTATGTAGCTCATCTAGAATAAACTGCCAGAACTCATGAGCATCTTGCTCCTGGAACCCAGCCAAGCTCTTTTTCTTGTACCACGCAGTCAAAAGTAAATTGGTCATCCCAAAGCCTTCAATTTCAGATGAAGTGTAAAAATTCTTAAATATGTTATCGATACTACAAGTGACGCATGCATTGGATTCGTCAATGTTTCCATTGGGGAAGTGATACTCAGGCGAACTTTCACAATTAAAAAAGTGATAGTCATTATTGAAAAACTGATTTCTGATGATTGGGTTATGTACGAATGTCTGCAATATGCAACTCATGAAACAGGTTGAGCCTAAATTCACAAACCCTTTTAACCCTGTAGAGGCCTTAAAGTCAGGGGCTATATAGTGCGGATCTGAGTTCGGCAATATGCTTGATGTTGATGCTTGAGCTTTTTGCTGTGTCATTTCTAAACGGATCTTCTCCAATTGAGGGTCGTTTATGTAGTCACCACACATAAAGCAATATAGCAAGCCGATATTACTATCGATGCCAAAAAAATGCAGGTTTTGCTTGAAATGCTGGTAGGCATGATTCATGTTGTTAAAGCAACCTACATGTGGGCATTGTAAGCATATGAAGTTATGATGGAAGTTGTTGAGGGAGCAGTCTGAGCAGTGTAAAGATTCTGATTTTAATTCAATTAATTTACTTATCAGTATTGTTGACCCATCCTTCTTTTGAGTGTAATACCTATCGTTTGAAATGACCTGTGATATGTTGAGGGCTTGTCTATACGTTAAAAACACAGTATCTTTGGCCTTGGAGTCAAGTACTGTCACTATGTGAGAGCATGGCCTTATTGATGAATAATTATCTGGAGGAGGGGTGTATTCTTGAACTTTATTCCTTACACTTTGAGCCAGGCCATTCATGTCATTCAGTCCGTTCAAATTGCCATTGCTTTCAGCGCCTGGAACAGTCTTTCTGGAAGACATGTTTGCAGTCGCAGTCTAGGGCAATAAGTAATCAAAAGCAAAGAGCTGAAAAGCAAAGATCTTGAGAAAAAAAAAGTAGTCCAGCTCAGATTGCAAATTTAGTGAAAGAACAATGAAGGTGTAGCGGGGCCCGTTGAATTTGCACTATTTCTACTTTCAGAATACACTCTTGATTTCAATTTTGTAATAGAATGAATGCAAATTGGGTTCGTGCCTACTGTTAAGCTTAAACTTTTTCCCACACCTTTTCAGTTGTCCTCAATCATAAATCTCGATAGTGATTCCGATGCGCGGCAAGTAATTGCCAAACGACGATGGTGAAAAATTTCGAACCTCTTCACGTCACACTACACCGCGCGCACCAGTGCGTAGATGATAATGAAAATATGGCATGTGTTTCAGTTCTGATGCATTTTATGTAGCAGATCTACAACACATAAAAGTTGGTGATCATTATATGGATTGATATATAAATATTTGAATTTTCCTTTATTTTGACTACCTTTTTAATGATCTATAAAACCGTTTATATATATATGTTATTTTTATTATCATTCTTTTTTGTTTTTACTTAGTATCTGCCTTTTTTCTCCCTCAATCATAAAAGTCTTCGTCGTCCTCACTGGCACCGTTATCGTTCCCACTCCTCAACGATTTTTTTACAAACCTCAATTTTCTGGCTTCTTGCAAGTCGTCGTCTTCCTCCTGATTCATCACCAATCTCTTATCCTTATCATCAACGGCGCCTACATCTACTAACACCTTTTCGATGTCATCAACTTTGCAGTCATTTCCACCTAATTGCATTAGGGTAACATACTGTTTCAATACATTTTTCTTGTGGTATATAATAATGGTGGGGCAGTTGGATTCAGGATAGTTTTCGACACATCTGGTAGCAGGTATTTCACAGAATTTGATCTCTGGAAATTTCCTGGACAATTGCTGCATATGCGCACTTAATAGCCTACTCTGGAGTGCTGAACTTAAAGTCATGTGTAGAAATACATAGTTGTCCACCGAAGCACCAGTGACTTCTTCATTATACTCAGGCTTAGTTATCGGATACACCGTTCCAAATTTCGACTTGCTAGTTAATTCTTGTAATTGCTGTAATCTTTTCTGCTTGTAAAAGTTCAAGAATTCCTCGTCTTCTTCATCTTCCAACTCATCTAATTCGTCTATTTCTTTACCTTCAAGTCTATTTTCGTGTTGGTTTCTCACTGCTTCATCGAGAGCTTCTTCGAGCTGCTGAGTAGGCGAAGGAGGTTTCTCTGGAATTATGCCATGACTTCTCAAGATATCATTCCATTCGGTATCTTCCGTTGGATCCACTTCTACAGGTACTTTGATATCCTCCATTGTACGGTTGAAAATGGTGACCAAAAGGCTTCGTTTCCTCCAGGATTCACTGCCTTTTTTTTTCATCAAAGGACGTTCCATTTGATTCCCATATTGAGAGTATATGCAGTACACGACTTATTCTTGAAAGTTGCCGGCGTTAGCAATATGCTCTACCAAACAAGGGAAGGTAATTACACAGAACGGGTATCACAGAATATGTGCTATCCATTACTTTTAGGTTTGGCAATATTTCGAGAATCAATCGTGTGATTTCCCTCTTGAGCAGGCTCCAACAGACATTGTCATTTTCTTTTTGGTTAGTCTTGACACTTTCTCTACTGCATATCCGCGCTATATGTAGCAACCCGCATGATATCGCAATGGTCAAGTTGCTCAACAGAAGGCGGTCTCCTAGTATATGGGTTCCTTTGACCCGCTTAAATCTCCAACGATACGACTGTGCAGTTTGCCTCTCTACAGTTGTTTGCATTACACTACATTTTTTGTTTGTTGTTCCGTTTAATTAAACATAAATTATTATATACAAAGAAATTTTCTATCGTTCGTCTATTTGGTAGCAGAAGCTAAGTAGGTGATCAAATCATTTCTATCCTTAGCCTTCTTTAAACCACCGAAAGCCATCTTGGTACCTGGGATATACTTCTTTGGGTTTTCCAAGTAGTCAGACATGGTTTGTTCAGACCAAGTGACACCCTTCTTCTTGTTGGCGTCAGTGTAAGAGAAACCTTCAGCTTGACCAGATTTTCTACCGAAAACACCATGCAAATTTGGACCAACCTTGTTTGGGCCACCCTTTTCAACAGTGTGACATTGTAAACATCTGGTCTTGAAGAGAGTAGCACCCTTCTTTTCGGAACCTTTTTCAAATGGAGCTGGCATTATATTATACTATTTACTAGATTGAATTAATATCAAACGATTTGAGTGAAAGAAAGAAAGGAAAAGGAAGAAGAAAAAAGAAAAGAGAAGAACGTAACTGAAAAAAAAATACAATTCTTTGTTAAGATTTATATGATATTGATGTTTGTTACACAAAACCATTTATTAACTGTAAGGCTTACCTTTTTTTCGATTCTCATTCGCTAATAAAATGGAGTCATCTCCATGCACCGCGCTGTCCCGTAGTTGCCCGCTGCGCACCGATAAGTCCGGTGAGTGAAAAATTCGTAAATAGAGCACAAGATGATCTGGAGTTGAGGTTCCAAGGTAACGATGAAATTTATTCTATTAATGGACTATGGACAGGAGGGAAGTGCGGATTCGAGGGAATAGAATGAAGGGGTGTCGATTGCAAAACGAGAAAAATACTGAATACAAAAAAAAAAGGAAATACCGGAACCAAATGTTTGCTTGCTACCAGTTGCTATCTGCGAGCTGTTACTACTAACATGAAATTTCGAAAACTTGCTATGTTGGTTGATTATACTTGTTCCTCATTTGTTCCACCTTCTGACGTTTGGGTTCACTGTGCTCAGGTGAATTGGACATGGGTGGTGCTTGCTGCCTGGTGCTCGTTACCTAGTACTTGCTATCCAGCACTTGCTACCTGGTGCTTGTTACCTGGTACTTGCCAGCTGGTGCTATCTGCGAACTGTTACCATTAACATGAAATTCACAAAAACTGGCTATGTGGATTGATTATACTGCCTTCTCTCTATTGTTCCACCTTTTGACGTTTGGTTTCCCTGTGCTCAGGTGAATTAGACCTGGATGGTGTTCTAGATGGAGATCTAGAATTAGACGCTGATCTCGACCTGGAGTATGACCTAGACCTGGATTTTGAGTTGGATGGTGATCTTGACCTAGAGTATGACCTAGACCTAGATCTTGAATAAGAAGCAGACCTGGACGACGATCCTGATCTTGACCGTGAGTATGAGCTCGATCTTGACCTTGATCTTGATCTTGAAATTGACCTTGATCTTGACTCTGATCCAGATCTTGTCCCTGACCTTGACCTTGATCCAATCCTTGCTCTTCTCCTAGACCTTCTCTCTTCTTCAAGCTCTTCCCTGGTTGGCTGGGGTATCCCCTTTAAAACCGTTCTCATCTCTTCGGTTAAACTTCCCAATCCAATGGCAGTGAAGAAGTTAATTGAAAACCTGATGTGTTCAGCATCTTTCCAGTTGACATCCACCACGGGAAAGAGTCCACGAATGTGACGTCTAATGTAGGGTTCTGTTAGTCTATTGTTCAACTCCTTTATGCCCAACTCCTCCACCATTTCTTGAAACATGAACTTGATGAAAATTCTACTGGCGGCGTTTGTGTCTTCTTGAGTCAACTGAATGTCATTCCAACTCTTATCAATGGCTAGTCTATCCAGAGCAAACAAATGACCCCAAAATTTGGCGATGTTCCTTAAAGGATTGGTTTCGTACTGGTGAATGGAGGTATAGTATTGCTTAAATACGGCGACAAAAGTATTTTGCCATTTAGCATTCTGATAACATAGCCTTTCCCCTATCACTCCGTAGTATTTAGAATACGTCTTTTCCTGTGAACAACATTTAACAATCATATCGACCAAGGTCTCGGGGTTATCAGTTTTCATTCTCATCAATTTATGCACTGCCTCATCAGAAGACATGGATGACATTACCGTCAAGTAAACCGCTTTTTGAAATTTCAACAACTCTCCGTCCGTCATGTCAATGACTGCACCTGAATCTTTAGGAATGTCAGCTTTTTGTACTTGTGCTTCTATGACATCTGCTTTAGCCACTTCGTTTGATCCTTGTACTTCATCTTTGGCTCCGTCCACCTCTTCGGGGAATACTTCACTTTTAAACTCTTTGTACTCCTCCTCCAAATCTTCGTACTCCTCCTCACTTTCTTCCTTAAATATGTTCAACTCGTCCATCGCCTTGATCTCTTCAGTTAAGGTGATTATATGCTCATCAGGTCTGTCTTCAACGTCCACTAAGTCCAATTCTGTTTGTAGCTTAGGAAATGTGGAAAACCTCTTCATCTCTAATAGCCTAGAAATGACTTTCTGGCCCCTCCTGTCAGTCAAACCTTCCTGGATAATTATCCCCAATCTTTCGAATATCATATTGAACGCATCTCTAGATTGTTGTTGAAGTGAATGCCCCACAACCTTCAATAGTATGGAGCTCATGTATATCGTATTGCTAGATGGTGCCTTGTCCAAAAACAACTGCAATATTTGCAAGATTATGACATCACTACAAACCTTTTGGTTCACCAAATGCCCTAAAAAGGTAATGCTTGCGATACACTGAGACTTGTCTCCTTCTCTATATGCTCTCCTAAACTGAAGGATGAGCCTTCCAGTCAATAGTTCTCCTATTTCTGGTAATTTAGAATTCAAGATGGCAACCAACGAAGCATACACCGGAGCTAAATGTTCATACACACGAAGCAGTTTCATTAGCGTTCGTATAAATACACCTTTATACCTGAAAAGATTTACCTTTTGAAATATCTCAATAGAGATAGACTTAATATTGCCTACGGTGGTCTCGTTCAAGAGTTTTGCTATTAGCTTCTTAGTACTGATCCATCTCAGCTTTTGGCTCCCGTTCTGCGGAAAGTCTCCCAGGGCATCATCGTCAGTAGATGAAGGTTGGGCACCGCTTAATGAAACATCTTTCCCCACAGCTCTCAACTTTAGTAATTTTAGATATTCATCTTCCATGCTACGAGTATATAATGCTATTTGACTGGGGGTAATGGTGAGGAGAACAGCCAGTTGACCTCATCGAGGTCTGTCTTCTCTCTCTGATATTTTACTCCGATATAAGCAGGTCGTGCGCTCCTCAATATGGGAGCCGACCCCAGATTCTGGCAGAGGCAAGAGTCAACTGATGATATAAGGAACCATCTGCCAGCCCTGCTTGACTATATTCGACAATTATTGTGATGTCGTCTTCAATTCTAATTATCAATGATCCGTCTGTTTACAGCTATGAAAAAATATTGTCAGAATTCATTGCTGAATTGCCCCTGAAGTCGAACGTAGTAGACATTTTCATTGTAAGCGAAATTCTGAGTTCTAATCTTTTCAACTTAGTCTTGTCTAACCTATATAATACGATAAGAGCCAAGGCAAACGATCTAGGGTGGGACTATAAACTTGGAATACTGGTAATATTCAATCAAAACTTGGAACTACTTGATTTAAGTGCTTATGATCTGGTATATTCAAGCTCCGATGTTGATGTGAATGTAGATAGTGCCAAGATACTCGCGTATGACAGTACCCCTGCTAAATTTCTGGCAAATAAAGAAAACTTGCCTAGTAATTCAGTAGGCCAGTATGGTACTGTAGCATGTGGAGGAACGTTCGATCATCTTCACGATGGCCATAAGATTCTCTTATCAATGACTTTGTTCTTAGCGTCTAAAAAGGTAATCATCGGAGTTACTGGGCCAAAGCTATTGACGAAGAAGAAATACCAAGAGGTGTTAGAATCTTATGAAAAAAGAGAGCAGAATGTTAAGGAATTCTACAAGCATATCTTAGCTTCTGCAAGTATTGAATTTGACTATTATGAGATTAACGATGTTTGCGGGCCGACTGGTTTTGTTCGAGACATCGATGCTTTGGTGGTCAGTGGAGAATCTGCAAAGGGCGGTGAGTTTGTCAACAACTATAGAAGTGAAAAGAGTTTTCCTATCTTGGATATAATCACTGTAGATGTAGTTGGAAAAAACGAGGAGGATGATGATACATATGAAGGGAAACTAAGTTCTACCGATATTAGAGAACTTGAATATAAAAAACTTGTAGAATGAGTTAAGGATTTATGGAGAGCTTTAATAGAGAACATGTCTTTTGAATAATGTAGGTTATACAATTTATTATTTGTATGAACATATATATATATGTGTGTATTTCTTCTTTTTTCTTTTCAGCTTTCTTTATTTAATTGAAATGCCTCTGTCAAATTGTGTTTGACGACGAGCCGAACGATCAGGGTGGTCTAACGCCAAGGACAATTGCTCTTGGTGTTTCTTGATTTCATCGTATAAAACAAACTCATCATTTTCGTGATCTATGTAACGACCCTTGTCGTTCAAGTCTGCTAAGGCGAATTTGATTTTATCGAACTCTTTTCTTCCAAGTCCCATCTTGGCTCTCAATCTAGCTCTAGTTTCAACAAACTTTTCTCCTGGAAATACTGGGAATATAAAAGGAATACCATGGTGATATGAAGAATTCTTGTAGAAATGGAATCCTGGTATCATATTAAGCTTCCTATTGAAGTTCTTAACTTGTTCCAACTCATACGCTTCAATCTCCTCCACTTCTTTGGCTGCATCCGGAGGAACAACATGTGAGTTTTCGTTGGTGGCACATTCATTTGAGTTATGTTCAATTTTACCCTCAAACCTCTTAACCATATCATAATTAACCAATGTCTCTACTTCGGCCGGTAAAACAGCTCCGTATAGCTCGAAATTATCTGGAATGGTACTAATTTCTCGATCGAACTTGATAATATCTACATATTTATGATTTACTCCCGACCAAATCAAAATATTTGGTAAACTTTCTTCTGAAACTTGAATTTTGTGCAAAATTTTTTGCATTAAATCTTCACCCACAAGACCCTTTCTTGGAACTAAAAGTTCAAATGTTTGGAAATGGACCAAACTAGTGAGCCAATTAAACTTAATTAATTTCATGTTCTCATACTCTTCCAATGGTATATTTAATAATTCATATTCAAATTTAGTAATTTGGCTTGCATTAACTGTCTTCCCAAATATTTGTTGAATTGAAGTCAATCTCTTCAATGGAAATTTGACATTCTGATTGTTTACAGCGAAAATTCTCAAGTACGCTGGGTTGGCATCGATTCTTTTAGCGATTTCAGTGGCAAACTCCAAGTACGAAGATTGAATGGAAATCCAAAAATCAAAAGTCTTATCGTCTTTCTTTGTAACATCAGAAGGTTGCTCATCAACAAAATCGGAGTCTTCTTCCAGCTCATTAGGGTGGAAAGGTGACAGGATCACATGGAATCTTGTAAATAAGAATTTATAGTACTTACTAACACTGCTGACTTCGTTTGGAATGACTTCATTTGCTTGAACACAAAGAATATCACCATTCGAAAGTTCACTCTTCTCAAAACTAGTATCGACTTGCAATGCTTCAAGTTTGCTTGGAGAGACCTCTTCAAATATTAATAATTGAGTAGTATCCTTGAAACCCAAAAGTTTATTGATAGGCTTTAGTAAAGAGCTGATATTCTCATCCTTTAATACAGTGACATGGGTCAATCCTCTTAATTCTCCTGTAACACGATCAAAATATTTGATAAAAAGCATTATGTAACTTGAGTTATCAAATATTGGTTGGAATTGAGCGACGGCCGTATCTTTCTTATCAGCCTCAATTTTATCAAATACATCTGCAAACTTAAAATCAACCGGCGATCCAAGTCCATTTTCTAAATCATTAGTAATTGTGATTAATTCCTTACCTTTTTCTTCAATAAAAAAGCACATTTCATCATATTTCCTATTGAAGCATTCATGATATACTTGAATTGTAGGTTTGTCCAACAAATCTTCTGGGATTGGCGTATCTGACCTATTGGTATGATTATTTCTATGATTCATCGATATTAGGCGGTAGGGCAATGAGGCGATATCAGTTTTACTTATGTTATCTTCATTAATTAATCCTAAGGTCTTTCCAATTTCATAATACAAATTTCTAAATGGATCTTCTTTCTTGAACTTGATAACCAACGGGTTGGAATCCTTATCAAATAATGAAGGCTCATAGAATCTCTCATTTCTAACATCAGGATATAAGTCAAATGAATTATACTTAATGAAGTTTTTGTTGGTTACCACTTTGACATTGATATAATACAATGCTTCTTGTTTTGCCTTTTCAATTTTCAGTCTCTCTTCTTGTTCTGCCTTCAAATTAGCAGCGATATGTTTTGGAATCATCAGCTCCATATTATTACTATCTTCAGGTAAGACTTCATCTAACATTGATTCTCTGTAGTAAACCAACATATATGCTGAAGTAGGTCTTCTGATCATATATTCATTTTGCTCACTTTTAGTCATTTTCATGATCTGTTCAGTTTGAAGTTCATGTGCACCAAAATTTTCATAAAAAACTTGGGTCGGAGTGACCTTCCATACCTTATCATCATCGAACCTCAACCATCCTGTGGAACCAGGTTTATTCGAGGCACTTGGTTTTATCAAGGCGTAGTAATGACCATTAGATATACTTCCCTGATGTACTAACACACCATGTAATTTATAGACCCAATTTTCCTTTTTGACCTCCTTTGGCAATTCTTCATCTAAGTATGGACTCAAATCGATGGCATCAGGGAACTTGAAGTAATCGTCTATTTTGACTAAATCGTCAATCATAAAGTCATACTCAAATCTCTTCAACTGTAAATGCAAAACGGGAGGGAAAGATTCAAAAACGACACCCTTTTTAGCATCTTGATATCCATATTCTTCACCAGCTTGATATTTGTTCTCACCTTCAAGCATTTCGACTTCAATATAATTCTGGAAGGCCAGTTCCAAATTTTGGAAACCCTTGACATTTAATTGGATATCCCAAAAATCTTCTACCCTCGATGATTCATATGGGACATCCACACATTTAATATAAGATTTCATCTTACCCACGAATATAGGATTCAAGGAATTCTCAATTTTTGTACCTTTCATGGCACTTTCCAATTTATCCATCAAAATTCTATTCAATTCTTGAACATCATGCTGTGTAAAGGCATCAGACGAATCCCAACCAAAAGATCTAGTCAACTCTAAAGTTCCTACTGGTTCACTGGAATTTGTCAATTGATAGAAAATCCTTTGCAATGAAAGGGGTACCGATTTCCCATTCACGTGTGAATCAGTCGGGATTTGATAAACAAGTTTACGGAAAATCTTAGTTGTGTAATATGACTGTAGTAATGAATTCAAATAACATGTAGCACCTTGATTGTTCAAACCCACGTAGCTAGTGGCTGCTTTTGAATCATAATCCTGGTTAAATGAGTGCCAGAGCACTCCGGTACTGCTGTCATCTATAATTTTAACATAAGCAGTTATATTCAATTGGTTGCTTTCCAAAATTGCGTGCGGTTTGCTATTAGATGATGGCGAAGCTCCCGAGGATGATAATGTCTGGTGTCTTTGTAAGAAGTTATTCGAATATAAATTTTTCAAGTCGATAAAATTCGAAAACCCCCAATCGCTTTCGTTTTTATTAAATCTATGAAAGGAGCCTGAAGACATGTGAGCTTCAGGATAATTTGGATTCCAGATGTCCAACCCAAACTGGGCACAAACATACCAATCTTTATCATTTTGCTCTATGTCCTCTTCTCCGCCCTTCAACACTGGATGCGGCTCAATGTAAATGGCTAATTGATTATTGTTGTTACCATTAGGGAACAAGAGGATGTTCCAAGTGTAACCACCGCATTCAAACGATGGGCCCCTGATTTTGTTTTCCTTCATCCCGTTCCAATCTTTGATTTCCCATATGTGGTGGGTCTGTTCCACCACAGGATAATCCTGTATTGGTTTCATGAGCTTTTTGGCGAGTTTGTCAAAGTCTTTGGCATTGGGGAATGAGTTGACGGCAGGCTGCTTCCCTTGTGCAACAGCTTCCTGTTCCTTCTCGACTTCATCATCAACGTCCTCCTCATCATCATCGTCGATTTCTTCGACCAATACTGCATCGTCATCATCAATTGATACGATTTCAGTCTCCTGGACTTGCTCCTTTGCCTTCGAATCAACCTCCATTATATCGTCATCTTGGATGTCTTTGATCATTGTCGCAAAGTCTCTCTTATCACCTGGATTCACTTTGGATCGAGTTTTTTCTACGAATTGAGTGTGATAGAAGGTGAATTGATGTTATTCTGTCGCTTCTAGTAAAATTGTGGTGGATGGTCTGTTTTTTAATTTTATTTCTAATATCAGATCAAGGGGTAGATCGGGCTTTTGAAAATTCTAGCTTACAGCAATCCAAGCCAAAATGAAACGTATCGGTTCCCGAAAGTAAATGTACTGGAATGTATATAGAGATTGCGGATATTTGGGGTAATATTGCAGTAAAATCTAGAGAGTAAACCTTTATAGACGCTGTTCCTTGCTCTACTTGTGATATAGCTTAGTAAAATTCGCCTGCTACACTATGCGATTAGAAAATGTTCCGCGAGTTGATCACGTTCGATTTTTAATCAGTACGGTCATTAAAAATGCGAAAGCGTGAAATTTATCTAGGTGCAGGAACAGTAGCAAGTTCGGAGGGTTGCAGTAGGAGCGACTGTAGGGGAAGAGAGTTTAAACAAAGACTGAAGTTTGGAGAGAGAGGGAGAATATAATATAGGCAGGAAGAATGTTAGATCTGATTAATTAGTGATAATTGAGTTTTCTTTTTTTTTTGGTTTGCTTTTTGGTCTTGTTTTCGATCTGTAGGTATCTATTGCTGAGCCAATTACTCGCCGATCTGACCAGATCTCGAGGTACCACGCAGATGGAATATGGGGAAGAAAGAAATACGAGAAAGGGAAACAGAACATAAGAAATGGGAGACGGGAACGGTAAACGGAAACGGAAAATTGAGTCCCAACGGATCCTCTATCGTGTATACTTGTATACTAAAGAACAATTTGAGCACAGTTTGACCACAATTCTACTCTTTTCTCACCCATTGCAAAGCGCTTTCACTATATCTAATGTATGCTCTCACTCTTGCAAATGCTGCGAATATTTATCCGTGCAGCACTAAATTTGAAAAGTTCCTAATTTTCAGTGTTCCTACATAGAACTGACTAAAGTTCTGTACAGAGTTATTTAGTGAAATATGACAGTTCAATTCTACGAGAGCCATGATCCTACAGTATTGGCATGTATAATTTGGGTTGTAAGAAACGCCCCAGAATTTCAATCCATGCTCCAACTCTTAAAGCTCAAAGTCCTACACTTGGAACCACTGCATTTTGAGTCCACCTGACCCACGCACGCACGAGAAACCATTTCCCAGACGTCAGCAGCTCTCTGCGCTCCACATCCAAGGGTCTACTCCACCGTGCTTCCCACACGTCTATACCTATATAATATTTCTTAAACTTTACTAAGGCAGGTACTGATCGAATGTATGGAAAATATACCCCGGTGAAATCAAAACAAACCCTGGATTTCTTTTTTGGCCAGAAAACATAAACAAGCCTGCATGAGAATTGCCTATTTGGATTGACACTTACCTAAGCGAGAGAAGTTCAAGCTTCCGCATCATCAGAAAGGTAAACAACGAAACGGTTATTTCCAAGGCTACTTCCAAGGTATTTCATTAGATTGCTTCTGAATGTTTTTCTTTCAACTCCTATCTAGATTCTCTTGGCTGCTCCGGCGCATCTTGGGAAAGTTAGACCTTTTTTTTTTTTGAGCCAGTGCTAAGTGGTTGCACCATTTGGGTGTATGAGAATGTGCATAAGTAACAAATGTGTCTCAGAAGTGTCTGCGTCAGAGATGGCGAGCAACCGAGCAGACTCAGCCGGGAGCTCCATTCGTGCCAAAAATGGCAAAATCTAGATTCGACTTGCAAGTTTCAGAAGAAACTCAAGAGAGCATGAAATAGAGGGTTAGTAGTCTTCTCTGACTAACATTCAGGGCCAAGCGCCCAGGGCCGGTCTATATTCTTTTAAAACTTAGATCCATGTACCCGTGGTGACTGTCCATTTTCTTTTTACCCTTTTTATTTTTTTTTTCTTCGCCTTTTTTTACCTTTTCCCTCTGCCATTAGTCCACTTTTATTTACATTTTTTCCTAACAAAAGTATTTTTCCCTAACCAAAATCCGCACAATCAGCTTGAATTCACTGCGCTGGGATTGTTCAGTGCGCAGTGTTCTCAACGTGCCAAACCGCACACAATGCAATCCACTTTGTTCTCGCAGTGGGCCCTCTCTTCGTCAATGTTGAGACATCTGTGCCATGCCTCTGCTTGCTTTGCTTTTACTTTGCTTCAGGGTGCACGTCTGCTTGACGACGTCCACCTACCTCATTCACTCTCCATCCTCATGTCCCGGATGATTCGTGTCCTGGCTGGCTAAACTCGTGTAACCTCAACGCTAATTCGCCCATGTTCCGTCTGCGATCGGAGCACAAGCTGCCCACTCACTACTCACCGACTCCTTTAGTAGAGGGGACGACTGAAATATTTTTTTTTTTCTTTGCCATACAATCCCCAATACCAAGCCTTGGATTCTCTACCAATCCACTCAATAATAATGCCTAGTGAGTTATATTTTTTCCTGCAGCGGACTCCTGTCCATCCCTAAACCCATACTCTGCCTATTGCCTCACTCTCCCGAGAATGCATACTCGGTGCGCGCATGAAGGCCTGTTATGCATATGTTGCAACTGATCGTCAGGTTAATACACGTATTTTACTTACACGCAGTTACACAAAGCCGTGAGCCTCACCCTCCTCTGCATTTCAGGTGCTATTATCTGCCTGTAATAGTCAAACCGATTTCCCATTGTTGACTTCTGTGGAATTGTTTTTATACTTCGTGATTTTTCTTTTTTTTTTGTTAGGTGTTTTTTTTTGGAGGGTTCTCCTTTTGTTTTCTTTCTGTTTAGTTTCCATAAGAACAGATTAGTTTCTACAGTCACTCCTTTCACTCCCTAGAAGCTCTTCAATTTTTAAATTACTATCGTTTAAAATGCTTTTCAAGTCAGCTTTAACCGCCGCCTTAGCCGGCTCTGTCCTCGCTATCGAAGGCCACCAACATCACGAACATCAAGGTAAGAGAGACGTCAAGGTTGTCACCCAAGTCAATGTCGTCGAAGTCACCGTTGCCGGTAACCAAGTTGTTCCAAACTCTGTTACCCAACCAGCTTTGAGTACCTTGTCTACTGTCACCACCTCTGCTGCCACTACCGTTGATGCTGCCAACACTGATGCTGCTTCAACCGCTGCTGCCGCCGCCTCCACCGCTTCCTCCACCGCTGCCACCACCGGTTCTACTTCTGTAGGTTCAGGTGGTGCCAAGGGTATCACTTACTCCCCATACTCCGATGATGGTGGATGTAAGAGTTCCTCCGACATTGCTTCTGAAATCGCCAAGCTCTCTGGTTTCAACATCATCCGTTTGTACGGTGTTGACTGTGACCAAGTCAGTGCTGTCTTAGCTTCTAAGACCTCCTCCCAAAAGATCTTTGCCGGTATCTACGATATGACCGCTATCTCTGATGGTGTCTCCACCTTGGCTGCTGCCGTTAAGTCCCTGGGTTCATGGGACGATATCTACACCGTCTCCATCGGTAACGAATTAGTCAACAACGGTGAAGCTACCACTTCCCAAATTCAATCTTACGTTGAATCTGGTAGATCCGCTTTGACTGCCGCTGGTTACTCCGGTCCAGTTGTCTCTGTAGACACTTTCATTGCTACTATCAACAACCCAGCCTTATGTGACTACTCTGACTACGTCGCTGTCAACGCCCACGCTTTCTTCGACGGTGGTATCGCTGCTGCCGGTGCCGGTGCCTGGGTTTTGGAACAAATCGAACTTGTTTCTACTGCTTGTGGTGGTAAGGATGTCTTGATTGTTGAATCTGGTTGGCCATCAAGCTGTACCTCTAACGGTAAGGCTTCATGTTCTTCCGAACTCCAAGCTGCTGCTATTTCAAGTATTAAGTCTTCTTGTGGTAACGATGTTTTCTTATTCAACGCCTACAATGACTTATGGAAGGCTGATGGATCATACAACTGTGAAAAGTACTGGGGTATCTTCTCTTCTTAGAGAACATGATATAGAAGAATTGACACTAAAAATTTTGGAACAATCATCACCCCAATTTCAAATTCATATACAACAACATCACACTTCCTTTCTTTATGTTTTTATACCATTTTTAAATAAAAATACTACATTTATTTGTTTATTAGAAATCTTACAGTGCTACACTTTGTATTATGGCTATCGCCCATGCTTTTCTTACTTCTCCTGTCACTATCTTCACCGATCTAGCTGTCTCTTTGAACTGCTCTACCAAATTTCACTGAACTGGCAATTTTTCTTGATTTTTTTTTTATTTTTTATTTTTTTTTTTCATCTTTTTCTTTCTCGAGCGCCTAGATTTGAAAAATTCATGTCCTAGTGAAGGCTCATAACCCAATACATATGAAAGCGTCAAAGTGTGTACCGCACTACAAGTTACTACCACGATGGGATCGGTGTATGGTGCGGAAAAAAGATAAAATAAAAGTCATTAGGCTCTATCGGGAAAGAAAAGGTCTCAATTGGGACACATTAGGTACATAACCTCAAACTCATCTGGTACACTTACTTTACATTTATTAGTGCCCTATCTATTTCACAGTCCAAGTCATCTTGAATATCACCCTCGCATTCCATTTCTACCAACTTTGTGTAGAGTTCGTAGCCCACTGGGATAACACTCAATCTTCCTCTTGTGAGTAAGAGAAATTCAGGGAGTTGATCTGCCTTAGCTTGTAATTCCTTCAACGATAACTTCCTTCTAAACCTTCTGCGGAATTTAACATCTACACACCACCACTTTGGGTTTTCCCGAGTTGATTTGGAATCATATGACTTGTGCTTTGTGTTAAACTGTGTTTCGTCTACATGTGCTTCGTGGCTTATTTCCACTTCTCCTACTATGCCTGGTGTGTCGCAGTTGGAGTGATAGAATAATGCGATGTCGCCCTTTGACATCACAACCATGTTATTCCTAGCTTCATAGTTTCTGACTCCATCCCACGTTTCTTCTATATCTTTTCCCACCAAGTCTGATAACGGAAATTTCACATCCTGTTGAGTCTTTGGGTCGATTCTCGAGACCGGTTCAGACTTTATGAGCCAATAGTTTATCCCAGTGTCTGGGTTACCTTCATACTTGTATGCATGTGAGGTCGGAGGTGGTATAGGCTTCCCATTGGTAGAAGTTTTAGCCACCTTTGGCGCCTTCGCTTTGGTCTTGGACTCGGGCTTAGAATTGGGCTTGGGCTTGGCAACCTTGCTAACTGCTACTTTCCTTTTGGGCGCCATTGATGTAAGAACTGTATGATATATACCTTACTAGTAAACTGTACTTTCTTTCTGAACTGAAAATAATTCAGAAAAAGAAAAATCCACGCGACTGGAGTGAAAAATTCCCCACGAAACTTTAAAACATTTATACATTGAAACCACACTATTCTAAGCTAAATAAATAGAAGAGAAGAGAAGGTACTTTGTATATTTCATAAATTTTGATTTCTTGTTTCGTTGATTAATTTCTCATTGTATATTACACTTTCATTAATTTAAATTCCTTTTGTTGTTTTTTTGCTTTGTTGTTAAGGACCTTTTACTCTGGTTCCGGTTTTCTTGACGAGTCAAGGAACTGCTTCCGCCTTATTATCAGTACTTCTGATTGAACTTGTTTCAAGGTCTCAAAATCAGCCTCAATTTCACTGAGTAACAAATCATCATAACTCTTGTTCCAAACACCATCTATTCCTTCAATTTCTAATATCAAATAGATTTGGTTCTTTTTCAACTGTCCGTAGTTATATATCTTGTCAATCACTGCATAAATATATGCCCAAATCTTCTCGTATACTCCACTGGAATACAAGATAATCGTAGTACAGAAATAATCGGTGAATCCTAGTCTTTTCTGGAATTCTGCAAATAAATCCAATATCTCCAAATTACCTTGTCTTATAATTTCGTTTATCTCTTCGAGAAGTTGATCCTTTTCTTTTTCGAAAAACACACTTTTGATTACAATATCATCTATGGTGATTCCTGGTGAAGGATAAGAAAATGCGAGCTCTTGTGATTCATCTTCCTGCGACATCATTTCCGCAAACGATCTTCTCGAATCAGCAGACTCCTCGATATTGACTCCGGATTTCAGAGCGACAGTAGCGGCAGCAATGTTGGTTGTTCTTCCAAGCGAATTTTCTTCTGCATCCACAAATTCATCGTTATCCTCCTCATCTTCAATTTCATCATTTTCTGCATTTTGTTGCTGGAAATTGCTGTTCTCATTGTATACACCTACATTGGAAGACTTGATTCCTCCGATTTCTTCGTCCAAGGCAACTATTTCCTTACCATTGGCGGTCTCTTCTTCGTCAATTTCAAGTTTTCTTTTTATTCCGAGCTTCGAATCACTCTTATCGTCCAGATTAGAGTTCTTCAATATCCTTCCGCCTCTCTTTGTGAAATCTTTCATAGGTCCAGGCTTATTATCCTTCTCACAATCATCGATATATCTCTGTATACCGTACTTAGTTGCAAATTTTCTGTATCTGTCTCTCCAGGCAGCACGAGTATGGGTCGGGCAAATTCTTTCCATGTCTCTGAAAAACGATACAGGAGCCGTCAATTGGCTATATAAATCCAATGGTTCCTTTGTCAATCCATCTTCAATTTTTTTGGCATGTAGTTTTTGATTATACTCCACAATCTTTTCACAGAGTAGCTTATCTTCCTCCATAGTGAATCTATTCTTCATTGTTTTTGGTAAATTATCGATTGAGTCATGGATAGGGTTCCCATGATCGTCATAGATCAATCCCCCCATTGAATTGGTCTTGTACACAAATTCTAATTTACTCTCCAATTGATTACGATACCTGTACCTAATCGAGTTACCCGTATGGTTTGTCAATTCCTTAGCAATTTCGTCAAACAACTTGTGACTCGTACGACGTCTTGGATCTCTACGAACTGCTTCCAAAATCTTTGCATCTTCTTCCGGAGTGAACGAATGCTTGGAGTTAGCATTCCTCTTGTCATCCGTGCCATAACCACCTACTTCTACTCCTCCAGACAACTCCTGGAGATGGTGAAACTCTTCTGCCAGCGGTGTCAATCGTTGTACGATGGCAGAGTGGTGAAGTTGCTGCAATTGTGGATGAACATCCAGCTGCTGCAGATGAAACTGGTTATATGGATACTGGTGTTGTTGCTGCTGGTGTTGTTGATGCTGCTGCTCAGCATATTCCTGCCCGGCTCTGCCCAAATTGAGACCTGCCGGCAAGATATTCTTGTATGTGCGTATATCGTGTTGGATTTTATCCTTCAAACTGTTATCAATGAAAAAGAAGTTGAAGGTGTCTCTAGAATTACGGAATGTGGACGATAAGAAGTAGCTCCTGCCTGGGTTCTCATGGTCTGTCACTAGCCCGCCATTTGCCCTAATCAAATTCGCGTACTTTTCACGCTCTGGCTCGTCGTTGGGGATATAAAACGATGACCCATTGAATATAGACACCTTCGATGGTACCCCATAGTCTGTCTGGGTGTTGTACAAGGGTCCGTAACTCATCGTTTACCTTTAAAAAATTGCAAATTAGCTTGTTCACGCGTAATTGTTCTCTGAATCTCTATTATTCACACCAATTGCCTTGCTTCTAGACTGCTTGTCCTTGTCTGCCCTATATCAATTATTTTTATGGTTGCAAACTTTTATTTTTATTTCGTTATAGAAGAAAAGTAAACAGTGAAGGAAATGTAGCGGTGTTTTGATGTTTTGATGTTTTGAAGGAACGGTGAGGAGTGTGTGCAGGGGCTAAAAAGAGCTCCCTAATAAAATCGTGAGAGGTATATGCAGGACACGAAGGTCTGCTGCACTGGTGAGCTGGGGTTACTGAGTGGATGGGCTGGGTTACCCACTAGGCGGTGGATTGGTGGTGCAGTGGCGGCGCAGTGGTGGTGCTCTGGTGGTGCAGTGGTGGTGGTGCTTTGGCGGTACTCTGGGGTAAGACCGCCAATTGTGTTACCTGTGCTGTGTCCGTACTGTTAATTGTAGGAGTACGACAAGCTTAAGTATTATACAGGATAAATACGTGAACAGTACACTGTAATGAGGTGAGGTCAGCATTAAGCAGCTACGGTTTAGACGATTATTCAATAGATTGCTACATCTTGTAGGGCTACTAGTTAAGAGAAGACTGAAGATTGTACTATCTTGCTAGATGGAAATACCGGATTGCAATTGCATGCACTCTACTACTTCGTTTTTCTACACTGTAGTGTTTTCCCCACTATGGGTATTCTATGGCTATTGTAGATATTCGAACTATAGCGTACTATTGATTTATTTATTACTATTATCATTAACTATTATTCTTTTTACTATTATTATTATTATTATTATTATTATTATTATTATTATTATTATTATTATTATTATTATTATTATTATTATTATTATGGTTATAATTTTAGTACTATTATCA